GTCTTCAATTCCCACTACTGTAATTTTAGTGCCTTCCCTTTTCAATTTTCATTTTATTTTCATTTCTCTTGTCTCCTTGACACGCATTTGTCAATCTTTCCCCCTCTTTCCTGTGACACTACCATTTGTGCCACTCAGTTTGGCTTTTTATCATAAATTGCCTTTTATGCTTCCTCCGGTAGTTTGAGGTGTAACTCAAACTCTTCGTCAAGGGTTTCTTTTTATACTGAGCTCATAAAATTTCTCTCATCTAGGCAGGAAGACAACTTCCAAATCACTCCGTTATACTAGCAAACCCCGTGGAACACTTACTAGGTGAAAGGTAATATGCTAAGCATCAGACACACATGATCTCGTTGATTCTTCACAAAAGGCTATGCCATTTAGGAATGCTTAAACAACATAGACTTATTTACCATCTCATGTAACCATAACCATGAGAATGAAAACTAGAGGTAGGTCATTTCCAGAATCGACTTGGGAGTGCTCTGATGTCAAGGCTCTGGTTTGGTATCTCTGCAAACCCACTGGCCTTCCTGTGTGGTTGATGTATGGCGGAACATCTCTTGGCATCACTTCCTCATACAGCCAGGCTCAAAGTCAGGTAGAAGGGGTGGCATAGGATAAGGAAATTCTGTCTGCATGCCTCCCTCCTATAAGGAAGGAGAAATTTCCCTAGATGTTCCCCAACGGATTTCTCCCAAACTTCACTGACCAGAATTGGGTTATATAGACACCCCCTTGGCCAACAACTAGTCCCTCTTTCCCCAAGATAAAGAAATCTCTTGACACCTAAACAAAATCAGGGAGAAGAATAGCGAAAACTGGATTGCTTTTGCATAAGCAATGAACAGTACCCGCATTATTAGGCAATTTAAGCTCAGAGAGGTTGAGAAAGAAATTTGTGCAAGATTATACAACTAGAAAGTGGCAGATAGAAAATTCAAATTAGAGCTTTCTGAGTCTCTCAGAATCCATATCTTTGCTCACCACACTAAATGGCCTTTTTCGAAAATGTTGGCATTTCACTCAGTCAAAAGATAGTTTGTAAGTCCAACTTGATGCTTAGCACTGTTCTTGCTCCTCAAGGGGGATCCGTGGGGAATATATTTAGGAATAGAAGTCCACTCAAATGAAATAGGTAGAATACACATGATTAAAAAGTTAATCAATTAATAATATATTTTCATATTGTAGCTCTGAGAGGTGCAGTTTTGCATAGTATGAGTTCACTGAAGATTGTAGAAATCATACTGGGTTTTGAGGAATCTATGGGGTGTGAGTAGAACCTCACAGGTTTGGACCAGTGGGGAGAAGGGAGGAAGGCATTCCTGTTGAGAAGAATAACTTGGAAAACTGTCAACGGCTGCCTGAAAGTTTCCTTCGGTGTAATGGGAGAATTTAGGAGTTGAAAAATCATCGTTGTGGGTGGGATTCCAACTTCTTCTTCATGTGACCTGAGATCTTCCAGCAATTAAAAAAAAAAAAAATCGTATAATTTGGCTTTTGGCTGCTAGGCACAGATTCTGAAGAACACACCTATCCCGTTGTGCCTCTGATGCTAACGAGGGGTTTGGGTTAAAGCACCTCCACTCATTATGACCAGAGATGCAAATAAGCAAGATGAGGTGAGGGTTGATCAGGTTCTGGGAATCACCACCAAGCTAAGCAGCTCACGCAGGGCTCAAACACACCATTTTGGTGTCGCTGACATGCACGTTGTCATCCCAGCTGCAAAGCACGTCCCTGGAGCTCCTCACAGCAACGGAGAAGAAATATGATGTTATTTCCACCCATCCCTTCCCTTTGGGGATTTCCTACACATAACAATAAAGCAAACAGAAGAGAAGCCACCCTCCCAATGTGTTGCAGCTTTTCAAAAAGCTATAACAATACAAACATTTTTAGACTCAAATTATCTGTCACCGTGCCTATCTTCTATCTGTTTCTGTTCCTCAAATTCCTTTGGCAGTATCTAAATATCTAGTGATTTTCTTCAGTCAAGTTTTCAATATCATGATTCTAGAGTTAAAAGTAAACTTCAAGTATACATATCAGTATAACAAAAGATAAGATCTGTGTTGGAAACATAGGCAAATAGAAAGTTCTTTGGGTGTGGCTGGTGACAGGGAATTAGGGTGGAACCCAGAATCATTTAGGTAATTACAGTTGGAGAAATCTAAGACAGTTTAAAATAAGCTCCAACTAAGAAAAATAGTGTTTTTTCTGTTCCTTTCCATGCCCCAGGGTCACTTGGGGTCTGCTTAGACTCGCGAGAAGAAAAATGATTCCATTGACTTTAAATATTACAAAAAGCCCACCAGCCATTCCTGTGCAAAGATGGAAGGGGTGTTGTGGAATTCGGTACTCTCCTTGGGCGCATGTATAGAGGGGACACTTGAACCTGAGGCGGACAGACATCAGCTAATTTTAACAGGCATGTGTAAGTATTGCCAAATTCTTAAGTTTCTGAATGACGTAATCCTCTGAACAAATTTCTTAAATGGTGCCTTAGCAAACAAGAATTTTTATAATAGTGATGTCTTTCTGAGTAAAATGTTGAATCACTCAAAGGATACAGATTAGAGAGAGAGAGGGAAAAAAATGCTCTGTGGGAGGGGCAGAGCTTTATAAAACCTGTCTTCCCTATGTGTGTACTCTGACAGCTCTCTGAGGACTGTTTCCTGTCAGTAGCACCTCTGGGAATAAGCAGGTATGTCACTGATTTTCATGGCGATTGCCATGAAATATGGTGTCATTTATTCTTCTTTCCTATTGCAATTACTAATATAATGAAATTAAAGTGTGGCATGTCTTTAAAAAATGAGTAAAAATGTAGTGGTATGTTTCTTGTTTAGATTTTTTTAATTAAAAATATTTTAGTTTAAGATTTGAGCTAAATTTACATTTAATATTGAACTAAATTAAGACTTAATCTTGAATCTCAGAAGCCAGAAAATGCCTGTGTAACATTAACCAAACCAAAGTGCACATTCAAGTCATGATGTCAATTTCATCGAAGAGGTTAGAATATGTATATTCTGTACTAAGTAGGGTTTGACACTGAATTTGATGGGAATAGTTGGATCGATTAAAATATATTCATTAAGCAAGGAAAGTAATCTATAAATTGTATATAAAGATAATAAAAATTTAAAAAAAGAGGATGGTCTTTATAACGATCAGAATCTGCAGAGATTAAGCAATCTGGGTTGGGTCAATTTAACACCAGAGTATATCTAAAGTTTAGTTTATAATTGGTCAATTCAGTGAAAAAGAAGAATTAGTCAAACTAGTTGTTGGATTGGCTGAAGTAACAGTTTAATATATAATTTAATATGCATAAACAGACACTCATTCTTTATGAAAGTCATCAACTAACAGGAATTGCTTTTGATTTTGTTGGGAAGAGAATGTGTAAGTTTGGATGGGAGGTTTCCTGAAAGTTATTGTTTTCTCTTTGTTTCCATTGATGTTTGTGGTCAATTTCTAAATATTTCCACCCTGTAGTCGCAAAACAAATTGTTTTAAAAGCCACAGCAAACTGTAATCTCGCATCCAGTGATTGTGAGAAGGAGGTATGATGGTGTGCCTGGGGGCACATCCTCACCTCTTGGTTAATGGGCGAAGTTTCAGCACACATTTGTCAACGTGTGTTGCAGGAAGTGACACAGATATCATGGAGCCCAGCCCCACCTATGCTGTCCATTTATTCTTCTCCATGATAATATTAAACCTTAATTAGCTGCATGATATTTGGGAGTTAATGAAGCTGTAAAATGTTAAGAGTTAAGAAACTCACAACAGGTGTTACCTGTTTGGGGCAATTAGGCTATTTGATGTCATTCTTCGATGTCAGTTTGACATTGTCAGATTCCCACCCAAACGTGAGCCGTGAACTTGTCTGAGAGGAAACACACTCTCCATAAGCCTTTCATAGGTTTGAAAGGCTAAAACCTTCTCAAACCCCATTTGAAAAGCACCAAGCTCGGAATCAGAAGGCTGAGAGGCAGTCTAGGCTTTGGAGCTCACTAGCTGTGCAAACTACGTCTTTATCTTTTTGTAACTAGATATGACTAGATTTTCCTGGGCAAGTAATTACATAAATTAAAACAGTGTTGCTGAAGGAATTTAGTAACTGCAATATAGACATGACATATTACTGTTTTACGTTAAGTATAGTTAATAGCACCTTGTTTATAAAATAAAAGCTAGGGGCACCTGAGTGGCTCAGTTGGTTAAGTGTCCGACTTTGGCTCAGGTAATGAGCTGTGCTAACAGCTCAGAGCCTGGAGCCTGCTTTGAATTCTGTGTCTCCCTCTCTCTGCCTCTCCCCTGCTCATGTGCTCTCTCAAAAAATAAATAAGCATTAGAAAAAAATTAAAAAATAAATAAAAGCTAGACTATTTTTAAAAGAAGTAAATGTATATGGGACAATTTAATTCTGTCCCTACTTATTTACTTCTTTTTTCTTTATAAAGTCACCAGAAATCTAACTTGGCGTTCAAAGCCTCTCCAATAGTTTGTCTTGACACTTAAATTTACACTTAAATTTTGTTAGTGTCAAAGAGACCTACTACACAGGAGACTATAAAGATTTCGGTATAAGAGATGCCTACAATTCATTTTTCTGGCTCTAGGCCCTTATTTATTTTTATCATATGAGGATAGAGAAATTTTATTTATTATGCTAATTATTAGTTTGTTTCCAAAATATTATTGATATACTTTACAAAAATGATCTGCCAATAAGACTAATTAACTTACAGATGATTTTAAATCAGTAGAAGGAAGAGGAAACAAATTTCTGAGCGACCCAAGTATCTAATCTCAGTGATAAAGTAAGACAAAAAGAATCGTGAAGTTTTTGTTTTGTTTTTGTTGCTGCTGTTGTTTTTACTTGATACTCCTTCTAGGAGCTTTACAGACTCACTACTTCCCTGTTTTCATTTCCTCTTTCTAGCATTTCTCTAGCTGTTAACTTGTCCAAACTCTTACACATAATAGCGCGTGGGGCATCATCAGCAGGGCAGGCAATGCGGGGAATTGGATGGAGGGGGGTTCATGACAGACCCAGGCTTGACTCCCTGCACCACTGCATAGGAGCTCTGTGACCTTATGCAAGTCTCTTAACTTCTCTCAGCATCAGGAGGTAACCTACAAACCACAGATAACGGTATGGACCTTTTGCAGACGCTGTGAGGATTGAATGAGAAGAGGTGCGAGTTTCAGGGACAAATTTCCCTTCATTTACAACTGTGTCCTGAAAAATACAACCGGCAGGGATTCCAAATGAGACACTTCAATACAAATGGCACTGCTTTTCTTAAAAAGCAGTGTTCATGACCCAGTGGTCACCTACGACAGCCATGGGTCAGGGAGGGAAGTGAGGGCTGGCCCCTGTTTGGAAGCCTGCTGAGTGAGTCCAGCCTGCAGACGCAGGGCGTCCTTCACCTTGGGGCCTACGCTCAGCCCCTCCTCAGCTCTGAGAAGCCACTGTCACAAGATTTCCTGTGGATTAATGAGTGTCAGTGTCTTGTGGTAGATTTATATATTTTGGTTAATTATAGGGTGTGTTTTAAGCCACCGTGAGAGCATAATGCACAGTCGAGAAATGATCGCTGGCCAGTACTAACAGATACCTGCACACACCTCGGGTGTGGCCGTGCATTCCGCTGCACCCAGAGACTTGGGTCATGGAAGGCGTGTCTGTCCTTTATCTTCAGGTGGTGATAGGGTGTGCGCGCGTGTGCTTTCGCGCGTGTGCGTGCGTGCATGTTTCATGCTCCCAGGATGGTCTCTGCAGTTTTGCCTACAATGGACTTTCCTGCTAGGGGGTCAGGAGAAGCAGGTGGCCATTCCAGCACCCGCATATGAACTCCTTAGCAGAGGGAGCTGTTTCACAGCCGGCTGCGGATGTAGGTGTGTGTAGGGGGGTAGGCAGAGTACAGGAGGTAGGAGCTGGGTGAAAATACCAACCCTCAAACAACGACTCCAAACCACTTCTGGAAGCAGAGAATCTGAAAGAAGATTGACAATCTCACCCCGGGGCCAACAAGAATATGTGCGCATGAGGCACACGTTTGAACATGTGTGTATTTCCTTCTGTGTGTACCGTATATTCGCGATGCAGCTCAGAGCTGGAAAGCCTGACCCTGGAGGCCATGCCGCCTGCTTCAGTGCCCTGTCCTGTCCCTCCTAGGTGAGGAACGCTGGTCACTTTTCTGATGCTCTGGGCGCAGTTTCTTCCTTTATCAAACAGGAATAGCAATGCCTTTCTCAGAGGGGTTTGGCAAGAATTAAATGGTTGGTAAAATGTTTAGGACAGCATCTGTTGTGCAGTAAGAGTCTAAAAAACGCTATTTATTGTTACTACTATTATACCGAACATCACTATGGCTGCACAGGTCACATGAGCCTGACACTCTCCCGGCTCCACTTCATGTTTGTCCATGAAGGAAAAGCAGAGAGGGAGTCCCTGTCCCGTGCAGGGTATACCCTGTCCTGCTCTGCTGACATCACCCAAAACGTTGAGTCACCTTTTAGAGCTGTTTTTTTTTTTTCTTCCTCATTTTCCTTCCAGATTGAAACAATGGAAGACCTTTATGTGGCCAACACAATCTTCGCCCTCAATTTTTTCAAGCATCTGGCAAACACCAGCGCCACCCCCAATCTCTTCTTCTCTCCATGGAGCATCTCATCCACCATGGCCATGGTCTACCTGGGTGCCAGGGGCAACACCGCAGACCAGATGGCCAGGGTAAGTGTGTGAACGCCCCCAACCAGGACTGGGGCATTCCTGGATGGAATTACAGAGTTGCAATATTACCTGTGAGGTAGCTTGGCTTGAACAAGGTTGGTAATCGTCACATGCTATTATACCACGAGCGCCCTAGATTCAAATCTGCAAAACAACTAAACCACAGAAACTCTCAACCATAGATAGCAGAAGGCGCACTGCGGTTTCGTATCCTGCAAGGCTAGAAGCAGCGACTACGTCTGGTGTTTTATAATATAATGTTTATACGTTTTGAAATATTTTGCGTGCTTTATCTCATTTGGTTTGAAGACAAGTGTCATTTTACGGATGGAAGACGAGGCAGCGTGGGCATAGCACCTCCCACGGTCTTCCTGGGGTTTCCTCACTCCTAGATCAGCCCCCTTTTTTTTTTTTTTAACTTTGTTTATTAATTTTGGGACAGACAGAGACAGTGTGAGTGGGGGAGGGGCAGGGAGATAGAGGGAGAGAGAAAGTCCCGAGCAGACTCCACACTGCCAGCACAGAGCCCGATGCGGGGCTCGATCCGAGGAAACCGTGACCATGACCAGAGCTGAAAACAAGAGTCGGAGGCTTAGTTGACTGAGCCATCCAAGCGCCCCCGCGTCAGGCTCTTTCAATGGCTCTACCGCTGTGGCATGTTTGCTCCTCACACATGTAGAGAATTCCTCCAGGGGTCTTCGGAGAGTGTTGTGAAGAGCTGAAGAGCTGGTCACCGCACTGCCGGAGATGCCAGGGGAGCCATGTGACCTCACATGGCCTCAGCCATGCTATTGACCCCATGGCGTCATGTCAGCAAAGTAAGGGGTGGCACGGTGGCCCATTTTCCAAACCAAGGTCGACAGGGTGTGCAGCAACAGTGTAAGGTTGTTTATGTCAAGGCCATTGGCTTTAGTCCTTGGTGAAGGGACATAAGCTCAGTCAGGGGACACTTTCACCGAGTCAAAGGCCTTGGAAATATGTCGAACTGCTTCCACCACGCACCACAGTGCTCCTGTAGGGTGAATCCGGCACATTTAACAGGCACATGTCCCTGAGATGTCCTCAGTCAGTGAGCCAGCTACAGTCATCATGCAATTAAGATTCTTTTCTTTCAGAGAAGCATGCATACAGACCTTGACATTGTATGTTTGAAGTACAGGCTCCCCTTTCTCACAAGCACAGCCTGTGTTTTAGTCACACCAAAGTGCCCCCGGCCACGTTCGGGTTTCCCATGAGAACTATGCCTGAGTGTAGATATGACCTTGTCTGGTGCACAGTGACCCAGTTACGGATGGGCCTTGCTGGAGGTGGCTCCCAGATAGAGTGTTAGTCAATCTCAATGCAGCAGGAAAGGAAGAGAAAGGCATCACTCCCTGTGAGTATTTGACAGTTTAAACATCAAGACTTACAACAAAACTCAATTGCTCAACCCTGATACCAGCAACATTTGGCAACACCTCTTCCTCTTCAGTTTCTTCCCCTTGAAGAAATAAAAACCATGAGCTGCACTGCAGGGTCTTAATATTTTTTATTTATGTTTTAACGTCTATTTATTTTTGAGAGACAGAGCACGAGCAGGGGAAGAGCAGAGAGAGAGACACAGAATCCGAAGCAGGCTCCAGGCTCTCAGCTGTCAGCACAGAGTCCGTCACAGGGTTCAAAGTCACAAACTATGAGAATCATGACCTTAGTCGGATGTTCAACTGACTGAGCCACCTCGGGGCCCTGGGTCTTAATTTTTTTCATGAGGGGGGTCAGAAGCATTATGTTTTGAGGAAAAATGATAAGTGAAGTACTCTAGGTTGTTAAAATTAAAAAAAAAAAAGATTTTGATCCCAAAGGAAAATGAACTTACTGGTCACTCTGGCACAGCACAGCTTTTCTGCGTCGGGAAAGAGTTTTAAGCTCGTGGGTCTATGCAAGGATCTTACGCTGTTTTCCCATAACTCTGCTGCATGTACAGACTTTAAACTTCAAAGGCAAATTTGGTTAATTCCCTACTAGAAAGAAGAAGAAAGGCTGGTTGGCTCAGAGGAGGAAGCACGGACTTTGGGGGACAGGCCAGGGTGTGTGTGAGTAGTAGCTTCGCCCCTCTTCACTAGGTATAGGAGGAAAGGCATTGAAACTCTCTGCACCTCTGTTTTCTCGTTGACGGTACGGGAATGGAAATACCCAGCCTGCAAGCCAGTTGTGCAGATTAGAGATAGCGGGCAACTCAGCCACTAGCAGCCCTTGACCTACTAGCTAAGGCTTATCAGCGCCTCAGCCGGGTACCTTTCTAAGAGCGTTTTATGGATTTGCCCACATGACACACAATCCTATGAGGCCAAGGCTATGACCACCATACTCATTTTATGGATAAGGAAGCAGGGGCAGGAAGAGGCCATGTTGCTGAGAATCGGCGTGGCTGGTAAAGGAAGCAGGCTGGAGTGGAAGGAAGGAAGACACGGAAGGGACGGACTCCTGCAGCGGGTGTCTTTGCGAGACTGGCGCGCAAGCAACGAGTGTTTCTTCCAGCTCTATATTTATTTTTTTTTAAATATTTTTTTATGTTTTATTTATTTCAGAGAGAGAGAGAGAGGGAGAGACAGTGTGAGCAGGGGACGGTCAGAGAGAGAGGGAGACACAGAATCCAAAGCAGGCTCCAGGCTCTGAGCTGTCAGCACAGAGCCTGATGTGGGGCTCGAACCCACGAACCGCGAGATCATGACCTGAGCCGAAGTCAGACGCTTAACTGACTGAGCCACCCAGGTGCCCCTCTAATATATATTCTTATATATTATGTGTAAAGAGTATCTGTGCTCGTTCCCCAGACATGAAGGCAGGGAGGTAGACATGACCACTAAGAGGTACTCAGTTGTCATTGGTTTTCAGGTTAAGTGATCTAGCAGGAAAATATACTCATAAATCTATTCCCTCTCATTCCAATTGTAGGTGTTTCAGTTTAACAAAATTGGAGTCAATGAAGTCCCCCCAATGACCCTGGAGAACTTCACGGGTTGCAAACTCATGCAACAGGTCCAGAAACGCCCTTATCCTGAGGCTATTTTGCAGGTATCTGACTCACCGGTTCCTAATGTCTTTTGTATTTTATTTCTAGAACCTTCTTGTCTTAAAGTCACAATGTTAGACAGGGAAAGAACCTAGCCAACTTCCCCTGTTTGTAGAGAGAAAACAAAGACTGAGAACCCTTAAGTAAATATCCTATGGGCACACTGCTAAGTATGGGCAGGGCCAGGGTAGAAGTGAGACTTTATGACTTTTAGGCCAAGACTGAGTCTAAATTTGATCACACCACTCTGCCAGGAGCTGGGCTCGTGTAATTTATTCTGAAACAGTGGTAGCAACTCTTAGAATACACGTGCATGGATGCAGATTTCCAGGTGGGAGAAGGTAAAAAGTGACAAAAACATGAGGAATGAGGTAGGTCACCCTCAATGATTTTATGAGAGACCACTGCCCCTTAGATCTCCCTCCCCGAGCCTTCTATCTGTCATCCGTCCATGTATGTAATGTCTGTCTGTCTGTATGGGTGTATATGTATATATGTATCTATTTATCATCTATCTCTCTCAGGTGTTAATATATTTTCTCAGTACTCTATTTCCTTACACACCAGCTATCCAGCTTGACTTATGGGAACTGGGCATCAATGTGCTCCTATTGATAGACAATGTCCACAATCATCCTCCTCAGGCTAGAAAGATATCTCCCATAGTCTCCATCTTGGGAATCCTGCTCCATCTGTCCATTGCCCAAGGAATTATGGGCTAGAGGAGGTGGAGAGGACCCCTTCAATATGGAGATTCATCAGGTCTCCTGTGGCACCTGGGGCAGTCCGTCAGCAGGCTTCCGTCCTCTGCTTCAGCTGGCCGTGCCGTGACTGAGCCCTGTGTCTATCATCATGCTGACAAACTCCGGGTTGAGGATCAGAATTCCCCTTTGTTTTCAAGGCTTTCTAAAACCTGGATTTTCCACTGCACAAACTGCCCTTTACTTATAAAATGGGTACTTTCAGGCATTATGTAAACTTTTTCTACATCACCTCTAAGGTAACGTTTTAATCTAATCAAACTCCTTAGAGACTTGGAAGTTGACGAAATTATAAAAGAAGCCTCACTTTCTTCTAGGATGTCGGTTACTTCATGGTTAAGTGCAACCTGTAGATGCAGCAAAATGTGAAACAAGTAAAATATAACCTTATCGGTTCTAATGCACTATATCAAAGTGTTTCCTCAGAGATTCTTCTAAAGCATTGGACAAAATTATATATTAATACAGCATTTTATTGTTGCATTGGAAAAAATATGTTTGCTTATAAGACATATCTCGTTTAGCCTTCCTGTGTTGGCTAAAGAGACTCCCTCCTTTCTGTTTAAGGCACAGAGTAGAGACAGAATCCATTCATCTTTCCGTTCGCTCAGCTCTGCAATCAATGCATCCACAGGGGAGTATTTGTTGGAGAGCGTCAATAAGCTGTTTGGAGAGAAGTCTGCGAGGTTTAAGGAAGTAAGTGAAGCCTGTAATTGAAATTGCAGGGCTCCCAATGTGCAACGAGGTCACTTTCAAAGCTGTAGTCTGTGATTGCCACGCAGAGAGTCAGAATGCCACACAAGCTCCCTAAGGCTCCTGAATGCCCTTGGTCATGGCGGCTATTGCCCATGCTCCCCTTGGTGGACACTCCCTCCCGTGGCTGCAAAAGCCCCATGTGCAGAATGAGTCCTAAATGTGGAGGAACAGTGAATTCCAGAGCCACTACCCACAAGCCCAGCCTTCCCCTCCTACCCAGTGTCTATAATGCACAGTGAGTGTGGGGAAGAGGGTCAACAGAGCACTTGTAATCTGCACCATTTCCTCTTACAGTCCCTCAACCCCCATGCCCACCCTCCACCCCTGCCCTTACCTACTCAGGCCCCTGAACCTTGACAGGAAACCTCATGATTTACAATTATACCAAGTCTTTCTCAGTATATGTTTGGTGTAACCTTTGGCCTATTTCTTGCTTTAAAGGAATATATAAAACTCTCCAATAAATACTACGCTACAGAACCCCAGGCACTTGACTTCTTAGAATGTGCAGAAGAATCTAGAAGAAAGATTAATTCCTGGGTCAATACTCAAACCAAAGGTAAAGCCAAAGCAATATTTTCTGTTCTTTTTAGTTAGAAAACTCCGATCTATTTAAAAAAAAAATCATTCTTATACTTAGCCCTAACTCCCTTAAAATTCACCCAAACTCAGTTATTCGGTTAATATAACCTTCTTCTTGTTTATCTGAGTGGCATTTTAAGTGAGAAAAAATAGTTGAGGTCGCTTAATGGAAGACATATATTCAGTACTTAAATAATCTGATTTTGGATATAACCATGGGATAGACGATGAGAGCAGGAAGACATGTCTTCCAATGTAGGAAATAATCAGAATTGAAATCATTGTGCTCTGTGTCCACTGTGGACAAAAAAAAAGAAAGAAGAAAAAAGAAAAGAGACATGCCCCTCCAGTGAGTAACTGGCGTGAGACCATTGGCAATAGAAACAGAGGGATCACAAAGTTATTTTTAACTATTTTGCACCATTCAGAGCCAATCTGCTGTGGAGTTCTTTTGGTCCCTGATAAACCACTTCTACTGGTGCAACTCAGGCCACTAATTCTTTCATAGGCTCCTGCCTCACTTTGTATTCTTCATAAGGACTCAAACTTAGTTAAATCTTCCGTTCATTCTTACTGAATTTAATCCTTCAGTCAACAACGGTATTCATCCACCACATACTATGTGCTAGGCACTGTACATGAGAAGGAAGATAAAAATGATCAATGAAACAGAACACAGACACTGCCACCCTAGAACTTACAATCTAGTCTAACCCAACAGACTGGGCTTCACCACTCTTGGCTCTCGAGCTCTCCACAGCGCGCTGGTTCCTACCGCCATACTTACTTTTTATGCATTCCTTAACTTCAGAGTTAAATTTAAGTGGCAAACCAAAGTCCTAGCCTTTCCTAGAGGTATCTCTCATCCAGCCAGGTCCTGATCTCCCCCTCTTCTCCACTCTTTTGGTGCTTTGTCAGCTTTGTGATGCCTGTTAATGGTTGCCTTGTACAGCCTTAAACTGTTACTGAACGGATTTGATCTTGTCTGCTTTGCCATCGCACATAAACTACAATTATTTGAGGGGAGGGCCAATGTGTCCACCTCTCCTTTGTCCCCACAAAAATTAGCACAGTCTTTGGCTGATAATGAAAACTCTTGATATTTCCAAATTTCCAGGTAAAATCATAGGTCTTAAATAATTACTGAATAATAACATATAGATGGACTTCTAAGAACAAAACCATAAAGACTGTTATAAAGGCAGAGCTGTTTTCGTATTTCATAGATTAATGAGCTCTTAGGACTAGAAAGGTCCTTGGAAATAACTTATCCAGATTTACTCCTTTATGGTTGTAGACTCCAGGCCTCTGAGAGGTTAACTCATTCAAGATCCCACTACCAATGAGTGGTGAAGCTGGGGGGGTGGGGAGGGGAGGTTCCTTTTCTTTGATCCCTAGTCTCATTCTGGGAGTCTTCAGTTGGATGTTTAAAGAGTTTGTTTGATAACTTAGGCAAAAAATAACTTTTCATGTAACTCCTGTGTGTAAAACATTGTTTCAGGCAATAGTTTGGTGTGGCTGGGTTTCTTGGCTCCCATGATGGGAAAAAGCATATGAATTACATCCTATAGAATTAAAAAAATATTTTTGCTTCTCTGAAAATAGCCGATCTACTTCTGTTCTTCATTTCTATTATGTATTTTGAAGTTACTGTTCTAAAATAGTGATCAACTGTGTACACAAAGGAAGCAGAGAAAGTGAAGATTAACAGAAGTGAAAGTAAAAACTGCAGAATTCAAGAGACTTGTGGAAGTTTTACTTTTCTGAGAAGAGCATGAACTGTTGTTTTCCTTAAGTATTGCCTTCAGTGGCTATGAATCTAGGAATTATGTTGTCAAAATGCCAAGTCATCCTTTGGGCTGATTTTTTGTCAAATTTTATAGTAATTTGAGGGAATGATCTGTTTATTTGTTAATGATCACATTCATTCTGTCATTTATGTCACAAAGTTAAGTACAGCCTTGGCAGTTTCCAGTAGTAACCAAGAACGTTAACTGCCTGGGGGATATACCGAGTGGCGTATGGAAGCTGGTCAGATGACACTGACCTTTTTATTAGAGTCGTGACTGTCAGTAGGATTGGGAGGCAGTGGGTGCTGGAGAAATAATTCTGACCTGCTACCAGCTTGTGATCTTGGGGAGATTGCTAGCCTCTCTTGGCATCGCGTCTTTTTCTGTAAAATGATAATAATGACACCCCAATAAAATAGTTGTGAGAATTAACTAAAATAATGTACTTAAGCAGTTGAAGTATCATAGAGTAGGTATCGACTGTAAATGTTTCTTAAGCCATTTTTTTTTTTTTTTTTTTGATAACTACCACACTTGGATGTTACAATTTCTGAGAAACTTCCTTCTCTGGTACACTCTTGTGTTCCCTTCTCTGCATTGCCGTAGGACATCGTGATCTCATAGTTTCTTACACATTGTTTGACAGCTGATTTTGAATGCCTCTTCCAATATTCTCAGCCCCTCCAGGGCAATCTTTCCTTTCTCTCCTCTTGTTTCTGTATAACTCCTAGCATAAGTCTAGCAGGACTTAAAAAAAAAAGTTTTTGAATGAATCAATGGATCAGACCCATCGATTATCTGGATCAGATCTAGAAGAAGCACTGACTAAGCTGAGAGACTTTGAGAAAATGACGTAAAAGGAGGTGACAGTCTTTCCAAGTTTAATAGTCATTCTAAATTTTCAATGCATTACTCCTTTTTCTCTTGGACTTTGCAAACCCTCTGAGAAATGTGGTCTGCTTTATTTATGCTATGAATGCATTGGGAGAAAAACTTGTGCCTGAGTCCATCGCCTCTGCAGAGTTTGACAAGTGTAGATGACGAGTTTGATGGTGATTCAAGAATTTCAAGTCATAGTAAGGTAACACTTCTTGGTCATGAAACCTAACATGTGTCATGTTTTCTGCAGGCAAAATCCCAGACTTGTTACCTGAAGGTTCTGTAGATGGGGACACCAAGATGGTCCTGGTGAATGCCGTCTACTTCAAAGGAAAGTGGAAAACTCCATTTGAGAAGAAATTAAATGGGCTTTATCCTTTCCGTGTGAATGCGGTATGAGACAACAAGACGGATTTTCCTAACATATATTTTAGGATCTTAGCCAAGACAGAGGAAGAAAAGTTAAAGACCATTCATGCTCCTGCATGACTTGCTAGTCATAAATCATGCACATTGGAGAGTTGGTTGACTCTTTCACACTACTGAGTATCACATGGTAATTTTCTGAGAGGCCATATGAATAGTGGTGAAGACCATGGGCTTTATAATTAAACAATCCTGGATATAGATGTAGGCTCTACCACTAAGCTTCTATTCCTAGCCAGCCAAGACCTTATTTATCTTCCATGTGTTCCATTTTTTGTGATCAATTAACACTTGGCCTTTGTAAAGATTCAAGAGATTTCACAGAATTCTTGGCCCATGGTGGGTACTGAACAAATATTTTAATGTTATTATAATTATTATTATTGCCCATCTTAATAATAATAAGGGCATACAGATAATTTGTTTTGTTGACTTTTAAGAATATATTTCCTCAACACTAAAGCAGAATCTATTCTCTTTTATGTCTAATTGTAAATCTCTTGAAGTCTTAATATCAACTTTTTTATTTCACTTTTTAATAATTTTAGACTCAGCGCACACCTGTTCAGATGATGTACTTGCGTGAAGACCTGAACATTGGATACATAGGGGACCTGAAGACTCAGATTCTAGAACTCCCATATGCTGGAGATGTTAGCATGTTCCTGTTGCTTCCAGATGAAATTGGGAGTATGTCTACTGGCTTGGAGTTGGTAAGCTGTTCCAACTTGTATTGTTTTAAACCACTGGAGCTAAACTTACCTTCCATGATAAACATGTCTGCACCTTTGGAAGCGGTATGCAGTTTCTCACAGAAACATATAAGTTGGTTGGTAACAAACGCGCACATCTCAAACTTTCATTCTGAGCATTAAAATATGTCACACATGCTACCTTTCTGCAAAAAATTTACTAGAGTATTAAATTGTAACATCACTCACAATATAGTAAAGTTAAAATTATTGATTTTTTTAAATGTTTATTTTTGAGACAGAGAGAGAAAGAGAGAGAATACAAGCAGGGGAGGGGCAGAGAGAGAGGGAGATACAGAATCCCAAACAGGCTCCAGGCTCTGAACTGACAGCACAGAGCCCGAAGTGTGGCTTGAACTCACAAACCAGGAGATCGTGACCTGAGCCAAAGTCAGACACCCACTGAGCCTCGCAAGTGCCCTAAAGTCATTTTTAAAAAATATAGTTTATGGTTTAGTTGGTTTCCATATAATATCCAGTGCTCATCCCAACAAGTGCCCTCCTCCATGCCCATCACCCATTTTCCCCTCTCCCTCACCCCCCATCAACCCTCAGCTTGTTCTCAGTATTTAAGAGTCTCTTATGGTTTGCCTCCCTCCCTCTCCTTAACTATGTTTTCCCCTTCCCTTTCCCCATGGTCCTCTGTTAAGTTTCTCCTGTTCCATGTATGAGTGAAAACATACGGTATCTGTCTTTCTCTGTCTGACTTATTTCACTGCAGCCTAAAGTCATTGATCTTTAACATTAGACTGTTAGGTTGCTTTGCTTCTTTTGTGAGCACTTACTGGCTTTTTTTGTCTTATGTTTGCATTTGTAGCTGGAAAGGGAAATAACCTATGATAAATTCATCAAGTGGACCAGCAATGACACGATGGTCGAAGATGATGTGGAGGTGTACCTGCCCCAGTTCAAATTGGAAGAACACTATGAGCTCCAGCCCATTCTCAGGAGCATGGGCGTAGAGGACGCCTTCAGCAAGAGCCAGGCCAATTTCTCTGGAATGTCTGAAAGGAATGATCTGTTTCTGTCCAAAGTGTTCCATCAAGCCACTGTGGATGTGAACGAGGAGGGCACCGAGGCAGCCGCTGGCACTGGGGCCATTATGTCAGGGAGAACTGGCCATGGTGGCCCACAGTTTGTGGCGGATCACCCTTTCCTCTTCTTTATCCTGCACAAAACCACTAAGAACATTCTCTTTTTTGGCAGGGTTGTCTCGCCCTAAAATGGAAAAGCTCCGTTTCTGCACAGAATTTTGTAGTACGGACCGTAAGCCTCAGAATCACTATAAGTGCCAAACGTTTAGAGGCTTTTTCTACCTATTTCTGTTTTTTTCCCTCTGAACAACCTCTACTACAAGCTAATGATAACTGCAGAGATAGCTGGACCGCTGTTGACCATAACGCTGCAACCCTGTTAATCATTCGGTCTCTAAGTGGAATGATGTTCCATTTAGTTCTTCCTTACTATTTAGTTTATTTTATAGCATTGACTTTTACTGTATTATTTATTATTTTATATGATGGTTTTTGTTATTGTTCACTGTCGGTTTCTGAAGCTGATACAGTTACAGAAGCAGGTGATCAGTTATTTTTCTACCTAAAGAAATATATTTACTCATTTATGTAATGAAGAATGAGTAGTTGTCCTTCCACACCCTTCATCATAAAGGCCCAGGAGAAAGCACTGAATAACAGGAAAATGTATGTTATGTGCATTTCCAGACATATCACATGGATGTGTCTATAACTTATGTAAAGTTGCAAGTACATAAAAAATAAACATGTTTCCACACAACCATTTGTTCGTTGTCAACATTAGATTCTTAGACTATAAGACTGTTATACCTCAATTCTTAGGAATCAAGCATCATGTCTCATTTTGGGGGATCAAAAAAAAAAAAAACTAATAAAGGACACAAAGGGAGAATTGATCCTGCAAGGAGCCCCCTTGTTGGGAGTGGGGTGGGATTGCATGAAAAATGGTTTTGAGCTGCCTTCTCATAGCAGCAATAGGCACAGAGATGAGGAAGAGTTTGAGACTTGGTCCTTTGGGGACATTCATATTTAAACCTCAAGGATATCAGGAATAAACACCAAGTCCAGTGGTTCAGACATAGAACCAAGGTCAAGGTCATTGAGCTGAGAGTTCGGAGGAGGGAAAATGGGCTGTAGGAAGAGAAATGCAAAATGGCTTCTGTTAGGGGTGTTTGTTTCAAAATAGCAGTGAATACTTTTAAGTGGGTCTGACTTAGAGCAGAATGTAACCTAAGTCCTGAGAACTAAGGCAGGTCTAGTTTGGGGAGTCCCAGCTCATGGGAGAGTCTGTCTACAGGAGTGTGGCTGGATCCTGGAAATGTTTCCCAGACAGTCCCCTCCCTGCGTTGGAAGACAGGGACCGATGACCCACTGGAACATGGTGGCTCAACAGGTAACCTCAGGCCCTTGACTGTCAACACCTAAAATCTCAGTTTTAGTACTTACGAATCCTCTAACTGTGGGTCAGGAATAGTGCTTCTATATGCTTTGGTTTGCCAACTAGAAAAAGTAATACTTTCCCATAAGGTTGCTATGATGGTTAAATGAATTCATATATCATGTGGATTATGCATAGTGTTTAATAAATACTAGTGCTGGTGATTATTACCTTTGTCAGAAATAAAACCATCACACTGTCAACTTGTCAGAAGTAGAATCCCAGGGGCACTTGGCTGGCTCAGTCAGTAGAATGTGTAACTCTTGTTCTTGGGGTTGTGAGTTTGAGCCCTATGTTGGGTATGGAGATTACTTAAATAAAATAAAATAATTAAAAAAAAAGTAGAATCCCAAAAAATTATAAAAAGTTAAGTTTTTAAGGCTTGAATGGTGGTTTATTTCCTCTAAATCAGACATTATTGAAAATTAAGGGTTCTTGCCTCTTGCATTCTCTTACGTTGAAGTTTATTCTTCTGTGTACTTCCAATAATTCAGCAATAGGATAAGCAGTAGCTTTCTGAATCATTATGTCTTCAGGTTTCAGTCTCATTATTGAGTTAAAATATGGACATAAAATTCTAGGTTCAAAGCCCTCTTCAACACTTTAGGGGTTCTAGAACCGGACTTGCTGATGAGAGAGTTGATGTCAAGATTATTCTTGCTCTTTGTAGTTTTCATAGCTTTCTTCTTGTTCTTGACAATATTCTTGCTATTTCATTGCATTATGAATTTTTTTAAATATTTTTTTTATTTTCTAGGAGAGAGAGAGAGACAGCGTGAGCAGGGAAGGGTCAGAGAGGGAGGGAGACACAGACTCTGAAACAGGCTCCAGGCTCTGAGCTGGCAGTCAGCACAGAGCCCGACGCGGGGCTCGAACCCACGAACCGCGAGATCATGACCTAAGCGAAAGTCGGACGCTTAACCGACTAAGCCACCCAGGCGCCCCGCATTATGAATATTTTTAAAAATTGTTCTCAAAAGTTTGTCTTGTTCCTCAGCACATTTTTTTTCCATCTGGAAACTTGTGTCTTGCTTCAGTTCCGGGGAACTTTCGGCCATTGCTATGGACGGAATGTTTGTGTCCCACCCCATCCCCACTTACATATGTTAAACCCCTAATTCCTAATGTGATGGTATTTGGAGCTGGGGCCTTTGGAAAGGGGTTATGGTTAGATTAGGTCATCAGGGTGGAGTCTCATGAGGTAATCGGTGCCCTTATGAGGAGATGAAGGGATCAGAGATTCCTTTCTCTACCATATGAGGACACAGAGAGTAGACGGCCGTCAAGAAGAGAGCCCTCACCAAGAACCCAACCATGCTGTCACCCTGACTTCAGACTTCTAGCCTCTAGAACTGTGAAAAAGGTATTTGTTGTTTAAGCCACCCAGCCTTTACTGTTCTCTTACAGCAATGCAAACAGAATAGCACAGCCATTATGCACGTATTGTCTCTGCCCACTCTATTTATGCCCTTCTTCTGGGTTCTGATCAGAGGAATACTGATGCATCTGTGGCACCTGGGTGGCTCGGTCAGTTGAGCTCTGGCTCATGACTTTGGCTCTTGTCATGATCTGATGGTTAGAGAGTTCGAGCCCCACATCGGGCTTGCTGCTGTCAGCACAGAGCCCCTTCAGGTCTCCTGTCTCTCTCTCTCTGCCCTTCCTCCACTCATACTCTCTCCCAAAAATAAACACTAAAAAATAATATTGATGCATCTGGAGTTCTCTAGGTTTCAAAATTATTTGGAATATCTAATAAATTCATATGGTCTAAATCCCAAATATCATAAAAATACTAGGGCAAAAACTATCCCTCTCACTCCTTTTCCCCCGCTCATATAGTTCCTGTCCTCCCTCCCTGCTAGAAATGTCCGTACATCTTGCCACATATACATAGGGCAGGCCATAAATAACAACAAACAAAATCGTGTTAATAATATTGTGTTGTTAACTAAGGAGACTATTACTTCCTTTCCTCTCCCTTCCCACCCCCAAACAGGCATCAAAATTAAGCACGACCATTATTTTCTTGACATGGGGAGTGTGCCTGTATGAATTTTAAAAGGTAACTGGGAAAGAGATCTGGAGATGGTTTGGGGAAACAAATGAACAAAACTTGGTCCGTGACTTTTATTGAAGATGAAACCATTTCTTGGCTAGTTTGGCAACATCTGCAATGATGCATTTAGAGCAACATAAATAACTAGAGCAAGTCTCCATGCTGTGCCTGAATGCGGCCCAAGTCACTCTCTAGTGAGCCGCTGTCTGTCAAGATAAACAAGCCCCCTTAATCTCCAGCTTCCATGTGATACTTTAAGCTGAAAATAGTCTGGAGGCCCCAGTGGCTACTACTATCTGCTCAGCACATGTCAGGCAGGCATCACGGGATTTCCTACTGCAAGTCACATTCACGAGTGAAGTCCAGGGAAAAGCTCTGTGCTGGGTTTCCCACTAACATTCAAAGGTTAAACTCTGAGCCAGTTTCCCACAAGACGTGTGCCCCATTTTTATGCAAAGTGCACGAAGGACATTCCAAATCTGTTATAAGGGGCTCCTTTTCTCCTTCAATCCCTTTGGAAAGCTCCCCCTACGCATCCCGCTGTCCATTCCCCTCACCACCTTGCTAAGCAGGCAGGCATACAGCGGTAGAAAATGAAACAATAACTATTGTTTTCCCTGTTGAATAAATACAGAAGAGTGAGGGGCCATTCATAAGAAGAAATAAAAGATAATCAAAAAATGAACCAGCATCCGACTCAGTGACTGTGTCTAAAACATTGATTCAGCCCCCTCGTCCTTGGGGTGGAAGAATGGACATCCAACGTGATGGAGTTATGCCCGGGGTCCACACCAACTCACCAAGGGAGAAGAAAACCAGCATTTTCTGGATGCCTCTCACACATGGCACCATAAAAAAGCAGATTGAACAGTTTAACGGCAAATATTTCACCCATAATATTTTCCATTAGCTGCCCATTACTATTCCACTGATTTGGAGTTTTCTGTTTTTTTCATTTTTCATTTTTATAATTTTTAAATGCTTATTTATTTTTGAGAGAGCAGGAGAGAGTGAGTGGGGAGGGGAAGAGAGGGAGAGAGAAGATCTGAAGCCGACTCCATGCTGACAGCAGAGAACCCGATGTGGGGCTCAAATTCATAAACTGTGAGATCATGACCTGAGCTGAAGTAGGACACTTAATGGACTGAGCCACCCAGAGGCCCCTCTATTTTTTTGTATTAAGAAGACTACCGGGGAAAACCACTATAATTGTGGCCAATTGGCAGCCTCGAGAAGAGATTAAGCAAGGAAAGTGTGAGTTACAATTTGTCAGCATTCAGGTCTCTACATGCGGACAGACGTGGAAAATGCGGGTAACTAAGTAATTCAGGCAAAACCTTAATTGTCTAGCTCTGTCTTTTTATTTGAGCTTTAGGCCAAGATAAACCTGAAGGGAAGATTGCCTGGGCCTCTGAGTGAATTAGAGGGTGGGGCGAAGAAAAGGGAGGTGCTAGAATGTCTAAAGAAGATTTCTACAGTTACAAGTTACTTAACTCAGCCACAGTCTCTTACAGAAGGAGCCACTGTCAGTTCTGCTCCAGCGGAAGGAAACAAGGTATCGTAAAACTTTCTTTGTTTAAAAGTGTTTATTTATTTATGTTCCCCATCTCTGCTGAGGTGCCTAGGCAAGTCACAAATGATCAAGAGCTCCCTAAAATGGAAATAATAGATAAAGAAAGCTTCATTCCCCTCCCCCCAAGAATGCTGCGCGAGTCAGACAGATTTAACCCCAATCTGCTTCGAAGTTTGTAGGGGAGAGAGGGCAAAGGGGGCAGGGAGAGAGCATTCCTTTGAAAGGAGTTATGGTTTTACCAGGAATGGTGAAGCTGTAAATGTCATCTCCTCCAGTCCCATGTCTAGATTGGCTACTTCTGTATCCATCAACCTAGGCAAAGAGAAACAGAGTCTTGTTAGAATAATTGAGCCCAAACCCCTCTAACCCTTCAGAAGAGAGGGCTTGGCAACATGAATTTGATGCCAGTCATTAATGTGTGGAATTAATGGCCTGGCTTTCAACCCGGATTCCCACCTGACATCCCGTCCTGGCCACCACACCATGGACTGTTAGCTTTCTTCTCTTCCATGGATAGTCTAAACCCCACTCTTCCACTATGTGCTCATCATAAAACATCCCAAACTATTGCCTCCCTCAGAAAATGGCTTTGGGTGAATATAGAAGTGCTGAGGGTGGGGGACATGTCTTCTTCTGGTAGGCACAGCCCCAGAGTAGGCAATGTCATCAGTATCATGGAGGCGTCAAGGAGCTTTGGGTATCCTTTTATAGGAAACAGGGTGAGGATCCTTCCCACACCCTCCTCCTTCACACCAGCTTCCCTCCCTTCTTCCTCCTCCTGTTCAACCTTCTCTCATCACACAATCCCTTCCTTTTATCATTAAAATATTTTTAAATGTCTATTTATTTATTTTGAGAGAGAGAGAGAGAGGCACAGTGGAGGAGGAGCAGAGAGAGAGAGGGAGACCGAGAATCCCAAGCCGGCTCAATACCATCAGCACAGAGCCAGACAAGTGGCTTGATCCTGTGAACTATGAGATCATGACCTAAGCAGAAATTAAGGGCCAGACGCTGAGCCACCCAGGCACCCCTTGCCATTAAAATCTTAAAGACGATGAGAAGCAATGACAAAAGCGATTGTATTCAGAGTCCAGAGAGGGGGGTTGCAGTGATAGTATTGCTCTGAGCTGGCTGTGCATATTGGGCAGCACATTGAACCTCTTTGGGCCTTCATTGCCTTGCAGATAAAACAAGGTAATTGGATTAGAGGGGACTGGGAGATTCTTTGGGACCCTAGGTATCTATAATGTGATATTTTGATGAATGACACTATCCTTTTATTACTTTCTTTTTTTAAAATATTTTTTTAATGTTTTATTTATTTCTGAGAGAGAGAGAGAGGGAGATACAAAATATGAAGCAGGCTCCAGGCTCTGGGCTGGCTGTCAGCACAGAGCCCGATGCGGGGCTTGAACCCATGAACCTCGAGATCATGACTTGAGCCGAAGTCGGACGCTTAACCGACTGAGCCACCCAGATGCCCCTCCTTTTATTACTTTCATAGTTCTCCAGCTTCTTCCCTAAATCCTTGACAGGTTGAAGTTTTACATATTTTACACACATAGTGTATGTATTGCATATTTATGTATTTATATACATGTAAGCTGATACATCTATAACTTTTGAAAACTGCAGAAGAAAATTTATTCTGAAAATAGCATAGTAGGAATTTTACCTAGACATTTATAATCTTCTCTGAAAAAAATCATTGTCTAACCCTCATATGGGTAAATTATTTCCTGTAAAATAGCATCCTAAAATTCTGCCTCCTTCAGAAAGTAGTTTCCACTCTTGGGTTAAATTTTATTAATGGATGACCTCTTCTATATGTTTTTTTTGTTGTTGTTTAAAAAAAGAGCAGGAATTGTTCTTTTCCGTTCTGGGTTATACCTCATTTATTAGTGTTGATATTAATAAAAGAATTAATGAAGCTGAAGATAACTGTATATTAACTTTTCACAAGAAATTAGCTCTTTCATTAGAGAAAATTATTGTTTTCAGGAATCTGTTACAAATAATTAAACTCTAGAATAACTATAAGGAGAAAGACCAAAATCTCAGGCCTGAAGATACTAGTTTCTCTTCCCTTCATGGTCAGTATGATTTGGAGGGGCCAAGCGTTTTGCATAAGAATGTAATCCATGAAATTTGAAGAGATAAAGCTTAATATAGAGGCAGTAAACAGAGCATCATTTGATGAATACAGCTGTAAAGAGATCAAGGAGATTATTTCCAAGATGACACTGAATCTTTCAAGAAAAAATAGATATTGGCAAGTTTCAAACATTTTGAGGGTGTATAATGACTACAAAACTAGAGTTGTTTTTTTTTTCTTTAGTTAAGTAATATTAGCCTAGGATTGTCATTATTTGCAGCATTAAGCAGAAGTTACAACTGAGGCAGCAGTTAGAGACTGGGATTAAATGTAAGCCTATGGTTAGAGGGATTTCAACAGGATCACTGGTAATCCAATTCATGATGAAACCAAAACTTCGCCTATACATGTCTCTCCCTTGATGCAACTGTTTGACCACAGAGAACTCCTGACCTTTCTAACGTTCTGAGGGCCAGGTGATATCAGTGTAAGATGAAGTTCTATATGATTGTTGGCACGAATGGGAATTTCCAGGTCTAGGAATTTGATTTATGTTTAATCATTTAACCAGTTTGAGAAATTATTTGGCTATAAATGGCAACAGAGTGACATAGCTATTTCTTTGATAGAACCCAAGTCTTAAAAGACTTAAAATGTCAGGGTAACTTGAGGTGAAATTTAGAGGTTGAATACAATTTTTTTAAAATGAGAAAATGTGAGTTTTTGTTCAAGAAGACCAGCTTCAGAGGCTCTCAAGTGAGTGAGAGTAAAGGCAATGAGCCTGGAGTTCCTTACTTCTCTAAAAGCATCTCCCACTAAGGTGTGAATGGTTTCAAGTTTAAGTGAACAAAGTATGGTGGCTGGAGCCAAAGGATGAACATTGGAAAGAAGTATAAGCGAGTATTTACAAACATCCATCTTGTGGGAAGTCCTGAGCAAGGTGCACTAGACCCACAGACTCTCAAGGAACTTACTCTGGGGTTGGAAAGATCTGGACGTATGAAGACAGAACCAGTGGTGTGAGAAATGTCAAGCAAGGGGCAAAAAGCGAGGTTGTGGGACATACTCTTGAAGCTTCTAAAGAAACAGAGAAACTTTGAACAGAATTGGATTTTACCAGAGTAAAGGAGGATTGAGGCATTCCAGGAACTGGTAATAAATATCATATAAAAGAGCATGAACGAACAAATAAGGTTAAACTATATAAACATATGGGTGATAGGTAAGTAAGAAAAAGCATAAAGTTTCTTGAAAGATATATAGCCATTTCTCATCTACTGTGTCAAGTCAGCAGTCACATGATGCTTTGAAAAGAAACACGGGGCTGACAGTCCGGGGACCTGATTCCACTGCCATTTTTTTTTTCTAGGAGAGAGAGAGACAGCACGAGCAGGGGAGGGTCAGAGAGAGAAGGAGTCACAGACTGAAACAGGCTCCAGGCTCTGAGCTGGCAGTCAGCACAGAGCCCGACGCGGGGCCCGAACCCACGAACCGCGAGATCATGACCTGAGCGAAAGTCGGACGCCCAACCGACTAAGCCACCCACGCGCCCCATCAGTGCCATTTTTATTGTGTTTTATTTCAACAAGGAGCTGCTAACTGACTAGCATCCAATTGTTCTCTGCTGTTCCTTCATGCTAAAATTTGAGCAATTCCCTTAAACTCTCTGGACTTCAGTTTTCTTCTTTTTTTTTAAGCTTGCTTATCTATCTATCTATCTATCTATCTATCTATCTATCTATCTATCTACTTATTTATTTACTTATAGAGCATGAGCCGGGAGGGACAGAGAGAGAGAGAGAGAGAGAAAGAGACAGAGAGAATCCCAAGGCTCTATGTTATCAGCACAGAGCCTGACACACGGCTTGAACTCACCAACCGCAAGATCATGATCTGGGCCGAAGTAGAGAGTGGGCTGCTTAACCGACTGAGCTACCCACGCACTCCTGGAGTTCAGTTTTCTAATATGTAAGCTGATGGTGTTGGTGTGGACTTTTCCTATAGTACATTCAGCTGTTATGAATAGCTACATGTATAAGGATGAGAGGAAATATATATGTACATAATGGATGGAAATATATACATTCTATAAACTATATAAAATCGAATTCGATAATATATTTTTTTGTCATTGCAGGAAGAGGTGATTTAAGGGAGATATTTATGTTAGCCAACAAATTGTTTTTTCAAATATAAAATAAGCAGAGAGGATTATTAACACATTTTCTATACCTGCTTTATTTTTCTTAGGTTTTCCAATGGACTCTCTAGCAAAATCAATCAACCAATTTACCCTGGATTTTAGCAAAAAGCTAGCTGAATCTGCTGAGGGCAAAAATATTTTCTTTTCTCCATGGGGCATCTCCACCTCCTTGGCCATGGTGTATTTCGGTACCAAGGGTAGTACTGCAGCCCAGATAGCCCAGGTGAGTGGGAGAGAGCCTCCTCTGCGGCCTTCACACCAAATGCTTTCTTTGACTTTTATCGTCATTTGCCTCCTGAAATCCAAATAGCTTACATCCTATGGCCATATCCTTCAAAACAAAAGGTACACTTAATCATTTACTTAGGCCATCAAAAGAAGTCTTGGAAAGAGAATCATTTGGAAAACTGCTGCTTGAGAAACGATGTAAGAGTCTGTGTGTACTGGCAAGATCAGACAGAGAGGATAACGTTATCAAGTTGGGTTCAACACCAAGAACAATGTAATTTCGATTATTAACGTATTTCAAGAAGTTAGGGTGCATACTTCATTTTATTTTATTTTAAAACTTTAGTTCCAGAGAAGTTAACACATGGCATTATATTAGTTTCAGATGTACAATACAATGATTCAACAATTCTGTATATTACTCAATACCCATCACAAGTGACCTCTTAATCTCCTTTACCTATTTCCCCATCCATACACCTACCTCTCCTCCTCTCTGGCAGCCACCATTTTGGTCTCTATAGTTAAGAGTCTGGTTTGTTTTGTTTTGTTTGTCTTTTTTTTCTTTGTCCCTTTGTTTTGCTGCTTAAATTCTACCTATGAGCGAAATCATATGGTATTTGAATTGCTCATATTTTAAATATCGTCATCATCTTTCCGATCTCAGAAGGATTTTCTTGAAGACACAAATGGAAAAATCAAATGAATTCTCTTCTTTGGTTTGTTTGGTTGTTTCTTCATTCAACCTCTAATTGTCTGAATGATCATAAAGAGCTCATTGAGATCATTAAAATAACGAAGCAATATTATCCTATAAGCAATTATTGATTTGCTGTAAGCATCTTCAGGCATAGTATGTGTGTGTGTGTGAGTGCACACATGCACACCTGCAAGTATAGCCATAGATAGCAAAAATATAATTAAAAAGCCATATATGCATATGTGTGCATATGTGTAAACATATAAATATATGTGTGTTTTTAAAACAAAAAAATAGAAAAGAGTAAATCCACTTCTAAATCATGCAATAATCAAAAGGACAAGTGATAGAATTTCCACTCAAGATGCTTTTTTCTTTGCCAAATATAGAAAAGGACACAGCCACTAATTTTTTTGTAAGTATTCCATCTTTTTATTTTATTTATTTATTTATTTATTTATTTATGTTGATCACATTTTTTAACAGTTTATTGTCAAGTTAGTTTCCATATAACACCCAGTGCTCATCCCCACAAGTGCCCTCCTGCATGCCCATCACCCCCTATCCCCCCCCCCACCTCCATCAGTCCTCAGTTTGTTCTCAGCATTCAAGAGTTTCTCATGGTTTCTCTCCCTCCCTCTCCCCAACTATTTTTACCCCCTTCTTCTCCCCCACGGTCCTCCATTAAGTTCCTCCCAATCCTCCTATATGTGCAAACATACGGTATCAGTCCTTCTCTGCCCGACTTATTTCGCTCAGCATAACACCCTCAAGGTCCATCCGTGTTGCTACACATGGCCAGATTTCATTCTTTCTCATTACCATGTAGTATTCCATTGTGTAGATAAACCACATCTTCCTGATCCATTCATCCATTGATGGACACTTAGGCTCTTTCCATGGTTTGGCTATTGTTGAGAGTGCTGCTATGAACATTGGTGCAGCCCCTCTGGAAAACAGTGTGGAGGTTCCTCAAAAAATTAACAACAGAACTCCCCTAGGACCCAGCAATAGCACTGCTAGGAATTTACCCAAGGGATACAGGAGTGCTGATGCATAGGGGCACAGCCACTAATTTTAAGTGAAAGCGGCAGACTATATATTCTGTCAGTTTCGGCCAAGGATGTCATTCTTATTCTTTTGGTTCACAAGATATTGTGTAGTTTAAAAACAACAAAATCCTGGTTCATGGCTAGTTGATAATTGGTTAATTATTAAAAGGTTTAACCGTTAATGTGATAGGCACTCTTAGATGGAGTCCAATTTGGGTCCATTTCATATAAATATATTGCTATGTGTTTCTCACCCTTGCTTTATTTAAATGTTATTTAAATATCAACAGCTTCAGTTTGCATGGAGATGGAATTGTTCATGTACCCTGTCTGTCACTATGTGTCAGCATAACCTTTAGTAAACTAGACTTTATTCCTAATTGTGAGCTGGGTCCATGATGTAGGAGATGGAATTATCACCTTGTTCTCTAATGTGGCACACTTCAGAGGAAACAAGGATGTGCACATCCTTCCTGTTAACTTCCAGATGAAATGTTGGGGTGAACACAAGGAATGTGTCTATAAATATGAAAGGGGGAGACACAATGAGAACTGAAACACTGAACTAGAATAAACAACTAAAATTCCTCAATGTTCTAGATAACTAGAGCAATGGTTGCTTTGCTGAAATTGTCTAAATGATACTCTCAACAGAACACCCAGTTCTCAAAACAGCCATAGATTTTTTAAAAAACTGAAACATGGAATACAAGAAAATTTTAGCTCTAAGTGTATTCCCAACATCACCTTCAATGTCCTATAAAGAGTATTGTAAGAAAGAGACTAGTTACTTAAACTGGAATTTCAAAAACTTACTTGAAAGCCACTGTTGACTTCATCTGTTCACGTCATTTAAGTGAAATCAGAAACCCTCCCCCTAGTTAATTAATTATATGTTCTGTATTGATGGGACTGACTGACTTGTGTTTACTGAAGAGTATTTCATATGATTACGTCTTTGCAAAGTGTGTTCATATATTGCCTTTTTGTTCAAATGATAGGTGCTTCATTTCAGAGACCAGGACATCAAATCTTATCCTGAAAGTGAAAAGAAAAGAAAGACGGTATGTCTTATTTTTATTGTCTATTTTATGATCAAGGAGAAAACACTTGCAGCACATGTCTTTTCATGGGGGAATTTAAGCACCCTTTAATAGGTAATTTTCCTTAGAAAAATAGCATAAGGGCACCTGGGTGGCTCAGTCAATTAAGCATCCAACTCTTGGTTTCAGCTCAGGTCATGATCTCACTCACTGTTCATGGGTTTGAGCCCCACATCACGCTTTGCGCTGATAGCATAGAGCCTGCTTTGGATTCTCAGTTTCCCTCTCTTTCTGCCCTTCCCCCACTTGTCTCTCTCCCCCACCTCAAAAACAAACATTAAATTTTTTCAATATCATAGAATTATAGAAAAATTTCCAAAATACAAAATTCTGTACACTTCTTGGAAAGGTCGTATTCTTTCCCTTTATCTCTCTCCACTTTTTTCTTCCCTTTCAGAACTGCCCCACATTCAAACTTGTTCTTGCCTTTACAAACTAAATGTGAAGAAAACGAAGCCCCCAAAACTTTTAAATCTTGCACCAACAACATTAAAGAAGACACTTTTTGTTGATCGTGCAATCAATATCAGCTTTTGCAAGCAGTACAACAAATTATTTCATTTAAATATAGGGTGTTGATCTATAGACAGTTTTTGTTCGACATTTTTATTTGACTAATCCCTTTTCTTTTAAAGGAATCAGGTTGGGGCAAGGTTGAAGAAATGCACTCTCATTTCCAGACACTCATCTCAGAAATCAACAATCCCAGCAATGCTTATGCACTTAAAACAGCGAATAGAATATATGGAGAGAAAACGTATCCATTTCACACTGTAAGTGTAAACATGTTTTAATCTAATGGGAAAGAAAGAGCCATGTGAGACCAATCAGTAGACTCTTTGTACATTGCTCTAGAGATCCCAGGGACGAAGCTAATGTATATGGTCAGGCTTTCTAGTAAACAACCATTTGGAGCACCAGTAAGTGTCTAATTGTAAAGGAAACCAAAAATCAGTCTCAAACCAGATCTAGTAATCGGATCTTTACGTCTAGAATAAAGGGATACACCCGAGGAACAGCCTGTGAACATGTACAAAAATGCAGTCTGTCTGATCTCTGGGTTAGCATTTGTTTCACAGGAAGTGGAGTAAAAGCAGTGGAGTAACTCAGGAGGCTAAACCTGCAGAAACGAAGGGACGCGATCGTCCCGGGAATGTGGCTGGAGACTGTGTCCTCAGGAGCAAAGCTGACTTTGGGGTCAGACAAGCCATGTCACAACATGACTTTAGGAGACATTCTTAACATAGAATAACATCAACTTCTCCCCTTCTCTGATGGTCGAGACCCCACAATGCAGACGGTGATTTCATCCTTAGTTCAGATTCAAGGGCGCCTCAGAGTGGTGAGCCTGAACCAGGCCGAGCATGGACTTCTTTCATATTCGCCCATCACATCCTTTGGCCCATCTCGTGAGAATGCGGGTGCCCAGTGGGCAAACAGCAAGGAAATCAGATCGGGCAGAGGGAAAGCGATAGAAGGGCTGAAGCGATGTTGTGGCATCAGCAGTGCTATCCCTGGCCATAGCCGGTGAATTCTGGAAAGTGCAGGAGTTGGGCTTTGTTCTGACTAAAGCATGAAAGCATCCAAACAAGGTCTTAAAGACATTTCTATTACTGGTAGTCGTGTGCATTCGGGTGTGATCCAGAAGCAAGAGGTTTTGAGTCCGGCAGGCACTTACAGATAAGAAGGACACAGAGATACAAAATGATACATCTGTTAAAGTGTCCACAGGTCCTGGATGTGCTCAGATGGGTTGATCAGAACCCATGAGTCAAGACAGAGAATGGTGCCATGTGAAACTTTAAGCTTTTTTTTTTGTTTTTAATAAACTCTACAGAATTTAAATTTCTGAAACTGAGTTAACTCACGTTTTTACTGCACACAATTCCTCCATAAAGTAATAAAATGAGGAAGTATGACAGCTGTCCTGAGGAATAAATTTTGTTCCTGAGGCAGGTGGCCCCACGAGCAGCTACCCCTATAGCCCACGTATATGACTGCCACCAGGGTGGACCTCAAGGGGCCAGAAGTATGAGGCCAGCTTTCTTCCCTCAGAAAGCCTCTGAAACTCTGACCGTGCCTGGCAATCAGTTTTCACGGCAGGGTCGAGTTTTCCTGAGTGGCCCATCACGGGTTCGTGGGCACTCAGAGTCCCCAGTGGGCAGACCCTTCAGGCTTCACGTAGGCTCCGTCCCTGCTGCAGAAAGCCAAGTGCAACTGCCCAAACCTTTTGCTCACTGGAGTCCTGGGATTCCTAGAGTTCGTCTCTTTTCATTCCAGCCCCGTTTCACAGACATGAATAAATCTGGGGCATGGGAGCCCCAGAACTGCGGGAGACAGGCTTCCCTCCACATCTGGGCTTTGGCACGGGGGGTCAGTGCCCAGCCATTTCTAAAGAGGGAGGGTTTAGGTTTTGACCAAAATGGGAGTATGGAAAGACAGAAAGGGGACGACGAGGTGGGGGGTTGCAACTGTCCAGGAATAGACTTGATTTCTCAGTTTTGGATAAACTACAGACGGAGATATTACCTGTATCTTCCAGAAATATTCAGAGGACGTGAAAACATACTTTGGTGCAGAACCACAATCTGTTAACTTTGTGGGAGCTTCTGGACAAATCCGAAAGGAGATCAACTCTTGGGTTGAAAGCCAGACTGAGGGTAAGCTTTCACCAGGGTGCTTGGCAAAGTGCTTCCTCCAAGCATTGTCTTTTTCTGAGTTTGCGTTGTGTGTAAGCAGGTGTCTTTCTTAAGTAGAACAATGGTCACATTCGAGGTATTCAGAACGTGTCTTTCTATTCATGCCCATGATGTTTAGACTCCTAGCTTTCCCCATGAGTCTTATCCAAAACATGGAAGTCAGGATAGATACCACCTTTACTAAGTGGACAAGAAACTCTTATATCCCAGTCAGTCTAAAGAGAAGTCCAGGGGTAAAAAGTAGGAAAATTTGGAAATTTGGGGTACTGCTCCATTTGTGATTTCTAAAGAAAAACAGCTGGTAAGTAATAACAAAATTGTGGCATTAAAAGTGTCATGATTTTAAGTAATTTTCAAAATAAGATCACGTGTTAGAGTGTGGGCTGAGCTGCTATAACAGAGAGACCTGCAGTACAGTAGCTTAATGATAAGATAGAAGTTTCTTTTTCTTTCACATAATTGTCAAAAGGGAGATAAGCAGTCTGTTCCTTGAGACCATCCAGAGACCCAGACTAGGGGGTCAGCTCTGCCATCCTCAAAACACGGTTTTCATATTTACCTCTAGGAGGTTCTTGCATTTTCCATTTTATAGTCAGCAGGAAATGGGGAAAAGAAAGCCTCTTTGCTCTTAAGAAGATGACCTGAGAGTTTCACACGTCAGTTTCACTCATAGCCCAGTCAGTTACATGGCGCACTGTATGCTCCAGTGACCAACCTGTCTGAGATTTTCCTGGAATTATCACCTAAAGGTCTCTCAGTTCCAGGCAAACCAGGACAGTTGGCTGCCTAGACTTGCGGTAATAAAGACCTATAATATGTCTTTAAAATTTTTTGTTAACATTTATTCATTTTTGAGAGACAGAGCATGGAGACACAGAGAGGGAGACACAGAACCCAAAGCAGGCTCCAGGCTCTGAGTGGTCAGCAGAGAGCCTGTTGCAAGGCTTGAACTCATGAACCGCAAGATCAAGACGTGAGCTGACCAGATGCTTAACCGACTGAGCCACCCAGGTGCCCCTATAAGATGTCGTTTTTACCTGGGTATCCACATGCTCACCTAAAATTTGAGTGTTCCCTTTCTTTTTTAATTTTAATTTTAATAGGTTAAGTTTTTATTTAAATTCCAGTTACTTAACATATAATGTAATATTAGTTTTAGGTGTAAAATTTCGTGATTCATCACTTCCGTACAACACCTGGTGCTCATTACAACAAGTGCCCTCCTTAATCCCTATCACCTATTTAACCCATTTAACCCCACCCAACTCCCTTCTGTTACTTTGTTCTCTATAGTTAAGAGTTGGCTTCTTGGTTTTCCTCTCTTGTTTCTTCCACTATTATTATTTGTTTTTAATTCCACATATGAGTGAAATCATATGGTATTTGTCTTTCTCTGATCGTCTTACTTTGCTTAGCATAACACCCACTAGCTCCATCTAAGTCAGTGCAGATAGCAAGGTTTCATTCTTTTTGATGGCTGGGTAATATTCCATTGTGTATATATACCATCACTTCTTTATCTGTTTGTCAGTCAATGGACATTTGGGCTCTTTCCATAATTTGGCTATTGTTAATAATGCTGCTATAAACATTGGGGTGCATGTATCCCTTCAAATTAGTATTTTTGCAGTCCCAGGATGAATACCTAGTAATCCAACTGCTGGACTGTAGGGTAGTTCTAGTTTTTAACTTTTTGAGGGAACTCCATGCTGTTTTCCAGAGTGGCTGTACCAGTTTGGATTCTCACTAACAGTGCAAGAGGGTTCCCCTTTCTCCACATCCTTGCCAACATCTGTTGTTGACTGAGTTATTAATGTTAACCATTCTGACTGGTGTGAAATGAGATAGGAAACTATTAAAATCCTAGAGAAGAACACAAGCAATAACCTCTTTGACATTGGCTTTAGCAGCTTCTTACTAGATATGTCTCCTGAAGCAAGGGAAACAAATACAAAAATAAACTATTAGGACTTCATCAAAATAAAAAGCTTCTGCACAGAGAAGGAAACAATCAATGAAGCTAAAAGGCAGCCTACAGAGTGGGAGAACATATTTGCAAATGACATATCTAAGAAAGGGTTGGTATCCAAAATATATAAAGAACTTATAAAACTCAGCATCCAAAAAACAAATAATCCAGTTAAATATAGGCAGAAGACATTTTTCCAAAGAAGACATCCAGATGGACAACAGACACATAAAAAGATGCTCAACATCGCTCATCATCAGGGAAATATAAATCAAAACTACAATGAGATATCACCTCACACTTGTGAGAATGGCTAAAATTAACGACACAGTGTTCTATTTCTAAACGGAAATAGTAGATTCTTATAGACAACCTAGAAGACTTTTTTTGTTTTTTTTTTTAAATGTTTTATTTATTTCTGAGAGAGACAGCGTGAGCAAGGGAGGGTCAGAGAGAAAGGGAGATACAGAGTCCGAAACAGGATCCAGGCTCTGAGCTAGTAGTCAGCACAGAGCCCGACGTAGGGCTCGAACCCACAAACAGTGAGATCATGACCTGAGTTAAGTCGGATGCTTAACCGACTGAGCCACCCAGGCGCCCCCCTAGAAGTCTTTTAATGTAATCCTTATCTTAGAAATTAGGAAGCTGAGGCTTTAGAGAAATTAATTTGCCTGAGATCACGAGTTTAAATCTTCAGAGATAAGATTAAGATAAGATTCAAATCTAAGTCAGTTTAGCCCTAAAGTCTGAACTCAGACCAAGCTGCCTTTTAAATCGATATAACTATTGATGGTCCGTTACATGTCACAAAGAAATACAAAAGATGTCATTATTAATGAATAGTAATAATTAAGCCTTAGCATTGCATCAAAGTATGTGGAATGTTTAGGCATACCACGGGAACCTTGGTGGTCATTATATATACCTGCCAGGACGTACCTGCTGAGGGCCCCACATTTCTCAAACTCAGCAGACCTGAAGTCAGACCTCAGAATGGTTTTGCCACACCTAGTCTTCCTCTTGGTTCATTCTCAATCTCAGTGATTGTGTGCACTGGCACACACACTCTTGCTCACACCAGAAATCTGACAGATGCTCTCAGCTCTCCCCTTTCCTTTGCCTCCTCCTACATGTTTCTGAGTCCACCTTTCCTTCCAATTTCTTCCTCCCCTGCCTTTGGCTTTGGTTATCATTCGTCTGTGCTAATACAATAACCTGCCTCTAGTGCTGCTCCCCTCAAATCTAATCTCCTTTCGGCCACCCAGATGATGTACCTCTGATATGAATTAGGGAGATAATGTCACTCTTGTACTCAACACCCCATGACCCACAGGATGACTTCAAGCTCCCTAAACTGACATAGAAGGCCCGGCAAGACCCTAGACCCCTGCTCGTCTCCCTGCTTCAACCCTTGTCATTCTCTGACTCAGAATTTGTACTTCAGGAATTCCTAGTGCCACAGAGTCTCCAGAACCCCCTGTGCTACCTCATGACCCTGTGCATTGGCGTAAGCTCTTCCCTCTACCTGAAATCCCCTGCCCTGTCCTGGCTCCAGGCCAGGCTAAGAGCCTTCCTCTTTGCTCTCATTGCACTTGGTGGGAAAGTTTACCTCGACAGGTGCCATATTATTGCTGAAGTTAACTGCTGAAGCCTCCCCTACTAGATTCAAGGACCCCAGTGCAGTGATGCTGCCTGGTTTGAGTTTCGGCTTTGAACCACTAACACACAGTAGGCCTGCTCATAGCAGTTGTTCAGACGTTACTGTTTGTTGAACTAAACTAAGGAAGTTGGCAGCCCTGAATTCTCAGTTCTTTTTTCGTTGTACTAGTGACTCAAAAGCCATGGTGAGGCAAGAGTGACCATATTACTTAACTTATATCTGACTTGAATTCATTCAAAAGTAAGCCTGTTTTTAGAATTCTAGATCAGCTAGCATTTACTGAGGACTTGCACTGTGTCATTTGGCGAGAGGACCACATGGGATTGTATAGGCAAAAGCATTCCACACGACAGAAGTGGGCCTGAGGGTATTCTGGGGCTGCACCATATCTGAGGTCTCAAATTCCTAACCCAGTGCCTGTTATGTCATCTGGTAGGAAAAGGGGAGCTGTATAGACAGGGAGGCTAGGAGCAGTTAATCTCCCGTCTCTACACACTGAGCAACATTTTTCAGAGCTGAGAGGAGAGCCATTGACTGGTGAGGCATAAGCTTGGCTCTTAGGGTCCTTCCCGTGCTTCCCCAGCACAAAATAACACCTTCAAGGAACACGATCAGATCCAACTCTCTGGATCCCATAGCTGCCCAAGGAAATCTTCCCGTGATGGTAGAAAAATCCTATAAGTCTGCTCTGCCCAAGTGCTATAGTCACATGTGCTACCCACATGTGACTCTAGATGATTGGCAATGTGGCTAATGTGACTGAGGAACTGAATTTCTAACATTAGTTCATTTTAATTAAATTTAGTAGCCATGTGTGTCTAGTGGCTACCACATTTGACAGCACATAGGAAGTTCTGCTTCCTAGGAAGCACTGAGTAAATAACCTTACATTATGGAGGAAAGAATAGACTTCAGATTGCAATTACTCTATGGTCAAGATATAAGAGAGTCCACACTTTGAAAAATCCTGTTGTCATACTACTAGTAAAATGAGGGTTCCCCACAAATGAGCTAACCAAGGGCATGGTCCGAATCTTTTATTAAGCCCCTGTTTCCCACATCCATAACTTTGTTCCTCCAGCTCATCCTGCCTGCTCTATTTCTTAGAAGTGGACTCTTCCAAAGAGGCAGGAAGCTGTAATATTTCTGTATTTTCTCTTTACATATTGAACACAAATACCTGCTATTTGAGGGCTATTCAACATCAAATAAAGTAATAAATTCATCAGCTATTCAGGAACTTTATCGAGGCAAAGTTTTGCACGTCCTTAAGGCAAAGTTACTAGAAACTCTTTGGCATGATTGCGTTCCCTCTGAACCACCTGAAGGAAGTTTCTTCCCTTTGGCTTTCAGATAGGTTGTCTTTCAAGTAGTCATGTGGACGACTGGGACATATACAACATACACACACTGGGACATATGCTGGACACACACATATCACTCAGTGATAGTGTCAGTTATATGTTGCAATTTTTTCTGATTTGTCTTCTTTATAGTCTACAAGCTACTTAAAAGTTGGGGGTTGGTAATCCATGCTTGTGTACTTGTTTGTAATCTCAAAATCTATCATGTGCTTGGCACATGGGGCCCTCTAGTGCCACATTAATAACGCTGTGCCCAGCAGGACTTAACCCCGAAAATCTTCAAAGATTGTCCTTCCCAATACCTAAAACTACCAAGGATGCGTGCAATGCACGAGCCAGTAGGTGGCCCTTTAGTTCTCAAGAGTGTAATAAAGCCCTGGTCAAATTTGGCTTTGTGTGTTACTTTAAAGTTGTGTTTAACTACATTTTTTTTCATCCTTTGTAAAATAATTATATTTTACACGTTCTAACAGAGCTGTGGGGGTTTCAAAAGTTTCGCTTCCTTGAAAGCATATGAACCCAGGGAACAATGCAAACAGCTTAAATCATCTGGATCTCGATCAACTTGAGCTAAGTCAGTGCAAAACCCAATCCCCAAAACCTACGTTTTCCAGACCTACTTTTTGTTTGTAAATATAAAGGGAAACTGAGAAGTTAAGCAGACCTAATTTTAACTGTTCTTTAATAAACATTTTTAAAGTTTATTTACTTATTTTGAGAGGTGGGGAGCAGATAGAGAGGGAGAGGGGGAGAGAGAGTAGGCTTTGCACTGTCAGCACAGAGCCCAATGCAGTTCTTGAACTCAAGAACTGTTAGGTCGGGGAGCCTGGGTGGCTCAGTCGGTTAAGCATCCGACTTCAGCTCAGCTCATGATCTCACGGTTTGTGGGTTCGAGCCCCACATCAGGCTCTGTGCTGACGGCTCAGAGCCTGTTTCAGATTCTGTGTCTCCCTCTTTCTCTCTGCCCCTTCCCCACTCATTCTCTGTCTCTCAAAACTGAATAAATGTTAAAAAAAAAAAAAAAAAAAGAACCGTTAGGTCATGACCTGGCCGAGATCAAGAGTCAGACGCTTAACTGACTGGGCCACCCAGGTGTCCCTAATTTTAGTTGTTCTTAACCACTTTTAAAAGTTTTATTACATGTATTACATATAATCCTTACTTTAGAAAATTTTTTTTTAATGTTTTATTTATTTCTGAGAGAGAGACAGAGAGAGAGAGAGACAGCATGAGCAGGGGAGGGTCAGAGAGAGAGGGAGACACAGAATCCAAAGCAGTCTCCAGGCTCTGACCTAGCTGTCAGCACAGAGCCCGACACGGGGCTCGAACCCACGAACCATGAGATCATGACCTGAGCTGAAGCCGGTCGCTTAACCAACTGAGCCACCAGGTGCCCCTATAATCCTTACTTTCTAAAAACACAATTCAGCAAACCCACTATGTCCTAACCATAGTGTGACATGAGTGTCCTAACTCATTGCACTAACCTGCAAGCTAACATATTTGCTACCCATTGCTGGCACGCAGGGAGGTGTAAAAGGCCAATAGACCAAATGTTTTCAAAGTAGTGGCTCTCGGTCCTCACTATATGTGAAACTAAATTTAATAATTTGTAAGTCCAACCCCAGGTGAATTATTCAGATCTCTGGAAATGAGGCTCAATCATCAGTATTTCTAAATCCTCAGGTGATTCTAATTCACAGTCCAGGCTAAGATTAATTGCTGTAAATGGCATAATTCCTTCAATCTTATTGACACCCACCCTTTTCCAACAAGCTCCACTGCTCATGGCCTTTGAGCTTCCAACACCCTGGATAACACTTGGACTTCTGTAGTCCTCTGTGAGTGTGTGCATGCGTACATATGTGTGTGTGTGTATGTGTATGCACATGCACACTGTGGCTTTACCTATCAGTCTAATCCATCTGTATTTTCTCTTCAAAACTTCTAGTCCTTCTATAACATCTTTTATTAGCTTACATTCCTGTTTCAGAATTATTCTTTTGAACAAATATTTATTCTAGTAAAAGAATATTTTGACTATGAAATCTAAGACTTAAAAAAGAGAACTGTATACAAATCATGTACCCTAGTTATCAAATTTGTTTTCCACAGGAGAATGGGTTAGCCATTCTGAGCCTATTTTATGTATGTTCTAGGATTGAGCAAATAAGTAAATATATTGGGAATAATAAGATCCAGGTTGCTAACTGACAGAGAAAGGAATTACAAATAAGGAAAAGCAAAGGTGAGCATAAACCCCACGGTGTTGGATTGAAACAGGTGATGTCAATCTGACTTCCTCATCTTTAATATAAAGCAGAGATAGAATTATATAGAGATGGAAATATTTACAGATATGTGTATAATATGTGTATTTCCTAGCTTTCCCTGCTGAGCAATGACACCCCAGTAGTAATGAGTATAGCTAACATTCACATCTTGAGTTCTAAAAGCCATCCCTTAGAAAAAGTAACCAGGGCTCCTAGAAAGCATCAGACAGACCTTAGGGTATACTGCGATACCAAAATGTAGGGAAGTGCTCAAAATATTTGGGAACAATGTCAAAAGGATATAGGAGCCAGGTTGAGGAGATTTCCAATAGCCAAATCTGGGACAGTTTGAGAAACAAAATAAATAACGATAGTACTAAATTATAACACATAGAGTAAAACAAATATTCATGAGTCTATAGTGATATAAATTATTGAATGCCTAAGTACAAGAAGGAGATGGGAAAGTTCTTCCTCACAGTAGAATTCCAATTAAGAAATGTAGAACAAATAGTGGAAATTGAAAAATCACCATTTGGCAAAAACTGCAGCAATCATTGTTTCAGGCAAGATCATCAATAAATACTAAAATTAGAGAGCAAAAGTTTGGTGAATACAGGAAATTTACATGGCCTCAAAGTATCTCCCAACATGATACTTATTCATTACAAAGGGAAAGCTTCATAATTTTACACTGAGAAACCTGTAGAAATCGGATCATCAGAGTTAATATCACTAGTAATGGGACATATGAACATCATATATTTTCTGGTATGATTCATTGAGAAAGACACAACATCGCTTCTTTGGTTGTGATGATTTTTCAGGGCTGCCATAACACATTACCACAAACTGGATAGTTTCAAACAATAGAAAAGTATTCTCCCATAGCTCTGGAGGCTGCACATCTGAATCAAGGTGTTAGCAGGGTCAAGCTTCCTCTAAATGCTGTAGGGAAGGCACTGTTTCATGCCTCTCTCCCAGCTTCTGGTGGTTGCTGGCAATCCTTGACTTGGTTTCTGGACACTCCACTCCAATCTCTGCTTCTGTTGGCACATAATTTTTTCTTTAGGTCTGTCCTATGTCTGTGTTTTCACAGAGGCTTGTCCTCTCTTTGTGTCCATGTCCAAATTTTCCTCCTCTTGTGTATCAGTCATTGGATTGGAGGTATCCTAATCCAGCATGACCTCATCGTAGCTTGATTTGATCTGCCAAGACCCTGTTTCCAAATAGGATCGCATTCACAGGGACTGGCTTTTAGGAACTAACATATCTCTCTCAGGGGATACAATTGAGGAAACATCAGACAAATCTGAACTGAGAATTGAGGGACATGCTACCAAACTTTTTTCAAAATTGTGTAGGTCATGAAAGACAAAGAATGAATGAGGAACTGTCCCAGATTCAAAGGGATTAAGATGAAATGACACTTAAATACAACTTGAGATCTTGGATGATTTCTCATCCAGATGAAGGACTTTATAGGAAAAATAGATGAAATTTAAATAGGATCTGTTAAGTATTATTATATCAGTGCTAACATCCCGGTTTGGATCATTGGTGGATATGAGATATTATCACTTAACAGTATCCCATATTTATCATTTTTTAAGTGTGGCTTGTTGCCAGGATGTAATGATACCATTTGTAATCCCTCCTCTTTCTCTTTTAGGAAAAATTGTGAATCTCCTACCTGATGATGCTGTGGATTCCACAACTAGAATGGTTCTGGTGAATGCCCTTTACTTTAAAGGAATCTGGGAACATCAGTTCTTAGTCCAAAATACCACAGAAAAGCCTTTCAGGATAAACAAGGTAGAAATCTCTTAATAATCAGCATGAGCTTTTACATGGCATTGTAGAGGAGATTCTACTTTAAATTCACTCTTATTTCTGAATATATGTTCCTGTAAACTCTCGTTCTTACCAGGACAGGAACGGCTGAGCTAAAAGCCCCCAAATCCATCATGCTGGGAATTTCCTCTTTCATTGTTTTTTTTTTTTTTTTTTTCCCTTGTGAAAACAGACTATTTGCTTATTTTATCAGAGTCCTTGCTACGACTCTGATAGAGTAGATAAGGTAGTTATTATATTTATTTCCCAGGTGGCTAAGTTACTGGAGTCACATGTCTGGAGTTGTATCTAAGTCAGAAATCTACCAGAACCCCAACCCTTCACTATTAGTTCTGTTCTTATTCTACTAGATCAACACTCTCTTCTACCAAACTCTTACCCTTCCATAAGTGATAGAGATAAAAATTTAAAATCTCATCTCTTTCACTGAGTTATCTCCTAGTGTTAGGATGTAACATGCTTGTTTTTGTGATAGGAACCAATGGCAACAAAAAGGGAGACTAATGTAAGATGACAGATAGATCTCCTAGAATCCAAGGGCTGGAATATGGTGGGTCCTTGGAACTTGAGTGGAAACAAGATTCAGTCTCTATCTTTTTAACTCTGTTTCTTCTATCATTCCTCCCTCAGGCTAAAGTCTAACTTTCTCTCCTTCCCAGTCCACAAGGGCACAATCTAGCTACTCACAACACTGCCTCCGTTTTAGACACCACTCTGATAGATCTCATTTTAAATTCCCAGCAATCAATTATCCAACATTTGTTAGAGCTGTTTGGTCCTGGGGTGAGGCATCTCACGTAAATAGCGCTGCCAGGGACCTATGGCAGTAATCACGTGGATGTGTGCAATAGACGGTTCTCACACCATCGGTGGGATAGAGATGGGAAAGAGACTGAACATGTAATCGAATAGGCTACCCGGAAATGAGCTGGATAGTTACCTGACTTAGTATATCCACAAGGAATTTTCAGTTGCGAGTGATAAATAGAGCATTCCAAACTAGCGCCCATGAAATGGGAATTGTATTTGCATTAGTTTATGTAACTAAGAGGAAATGAGAAGTCCAGGGAGTCTGATACTGAAGATACAATTCACCCATATGATCTGGGAATATGGTTGTCTCTTTTTCAGTGTTCTAGCTTCACAACCCTGGTAGATAGTCTTTGCTGCTAGCTCTAACAGAATGGTCCCAAGGAAGACTCTATTTTGTGCCATTCATGTGCTCATCCCTGAAACAATCACTGTATCATGAAGTATCCTGAACGAACAGCTCTACCCATATGGCTGCTACCTTAGCAGAAGGGTAGAGCTTTGTGATTGCCATTTAGCTCCTTGTAGAATGGATAAATGACGTATGTCTATAATATCTGAATTGCAGGGTTTTGTTTTTGTTTTACCATTATCTTTACTAAAAATGGACATTTTAAAGAGCATTTCTAGGTTTATAGCAAAATTGAGAGCAAAGTAGTGTTCCCTTATTTCCTCCCCACAGTCACATAATTTCCCTTATTATTAGCATTTTGCATTACTGTGGTACATTTGTTACAATTATTTAGCCAATATCAATAACTCTTAATTAACTGAAGTCCACAGTTTACATTAGGATTCACTCGGTCTTGTACGGTTCCCTGGAATTTGACTAATGCATTATGTCATGTATCTGCCGTTACAGTATCATATGGAATAGTTTAACTGCCCTCAAAGTGCCCTGTACTCCACCTATTCATCCCTCCTTCTAAATGCCTGGCAACCACGGATCCTCTTACTGTCTCCGTAGGTTTACTTTTTCTGGAGTATCTTATCGTTGGAATTGTAGAGTATGTAGCCTTTTCAGATTGGCTTCTTCCACTAAGCAATATGTAATTAAGTTTTCTCCCTGTCTTTCCACGGCTTGATAGATCCTTTCACTTTACTGTTGAGTAGTATCCCATTGACTGGAGGTATTGCAGTTTGTTTAGCCATTCACCCTCTGAGGGACATCTTAGTTAATTTCAGTTTTTGGCAATTATGAATAAGGCTGCTATAAATATTCATGTGCAAGATTTTGTGTGGACATAAGTTTTTATCTCATACTGGTAAGTACTCACTAGCACACCTGGATCCTATGGTAATACTACGTTTAGTTTTGTAAGAACCTACAAAAAGAACTGTCTTCCAAAGGGGCTTGCTCTTTGCATTTCCCATTGGCAGAGAAAGGCATTTCCTGTCGCTCCACATTCTTGCCATAGGTTGATATTTGTCAGCATTTTAGACTTTTAGCCATTCTAAAAGGTCTGTAGTGGTGTCTCGTTGTCCTAATTTGCAATTACCTAATGGCATATGGTTGAGCATCTTTTCAAATACTGTATGTCTTCCTTTGGTAAGGTATCTGTTCATGTCTTTTGCCTATGTTGTAAAATTGTTTTTTTTTTCCATTGAGTTTTTAAAAGTTCTTTATACGTTTTGATACCCGCCCTTTATCAGATATGTATTTTGCAAATATTTCCTCTAGTCTATTATCTTTTTATTCTCTTGATAAATTGCAGTGTTTATGATACTACAATACTTTCTCAAATGGTTGCATGTGAAATGCACCTTATTCTGTTTCTGAATCGTTGAAATCTACATAGTTTGCATAAGATTATATAGTTTTTAAGAGTACCGTAGGATCCAGCTTGCTATGATTTACAGAGATTGTCACAATCATGTTATAAAAGAAACTTCCACATTACTTATTGATAATGGTATCCAGTGAAACATGTACTTCCAGAAAGCAAAGTCTGAATAACTTATTCAGCATTTTGCAGAGAATCACTCATTTTACCACCGTCTCAGACTACTGGGCACCAATTATGATAAAAAAAAATTAAAGATTAGGTGGAACACTTCCTCAGTGACTTTGCTACTTACTTCCCATAGAGTATCAGCAAACCAGTGCAAATGATGTCCGTGAAAACAAAACTCAACGTTTTCTGCATTCCAAAGCCACAGGCCATGGGCCTCCAACTCTACTATAACAGCCGTGACCTCAGCCTGCTCATCTTGCTTCCAGAAGATATCGAAGGACTGGATCAGGTACAGTCTGTCTGATGTGAAGGTGGATCCGGTGTTTACCCCTCTGGGGGCGGGGAACATAAGACATAGTCTCTCTGTTCTTGGATTCCTGTAGAGGAAGGCAACCAAAGTACCAGAGACCTAGGGACTTTACTTTCACAGTATCATTTAAACTTTCTAAAACTCTATCAGTTTGGTACTACTACCCTCAGAAAGGCTTAGGAATCTACAGGCACTTGCATTGGGCAGGTAAAAAAAACAGCCACATGAGCAACAGAATGTCTGTCACAAAGCTGTGTGCATTGATCTATCTTTCAATCAGTCTAGGCCTTTCTTCTCCCTCTGGTAAAGCCTACCTAATTGGAGGTTCCTTTTTCAAATCGCTGGCATCAGTCTAGCTTTAGATATACATTGTTAACCATGACCCTGACTTCTAAAACGTAAAAAAAGACATTTTAATCAAGTAAACAGTCTTCAGGAGAAATAGTCCATATCAGTACTACCTTCAAGCATTATTTAAGTTATTTATCAGCCAAATTTCTATTACAGTGGATAGAACTTTCGTCAGACCATGTTTCTGAGCCATTTGTAAATTAAAAAAAATTTTTTTTACATTTAATTATTGCTGAGAGACAGAGAGAGACAGAGCACCAACAGGGAAGGGGAAGAGAGAGAAGGAGACACTGAATCTGAAGCAGGCTCCAGGGTCTGAGCTAGCTGTCAGCAGAGCCCGATGTGGGGCTCGAACCCACAAACTGTGAGATCATGACCTGATCTGAAGTCAGATGCTCAACTGACTGAGCCACCCAGGCGCCCTCTATTTGTAAATTTAAATCAAATGTTAGTTTCTCATGCAATGAGTGGCCTGGCTTTCTTTGCACAGTGCATAACTTCTCATGTGTGCCATACTCCTTATGGTAAAAATAAGACCAAGTGTGGACACTTAACTATTAGGGTCCCACCCTTATAAGATAAGCCTTTCTTCCTAAGAGTGCAGGTTCCTGAACTGATTATGTTATCAGATCAATGCACATCATCTACAGGTATGTAATTGACAGCAATGCTTGGGTATAAAAACTTTCAAACCAGCAAAGCAAGTTTTTTGAAACAAGCATGTTATTTTAAAAGATGTGGTGCAATCAGTTAAGAATCTGACTCTTGATCTCGGCTCAGGTCATGATCTCACAGTTTGTGAGTTCAAGCCCTGCATTGGGCTCTATGCTGACAGTTTAGTGTCTGCTTGGGATTCTCTTTCTCACTCTCTGATCCTCCCCGGCTTGTGTTCTCCTCCCACTCAATAAATAAACTTAAAAAACTCAAGCACATTTTTAACATATATTCTTATGCATATGGATGCATATATATTATTTAAAAATGTTAAGATATAAAGAGGAGGAAAACACTCTCAAAACTACACTAAAAAGGGCATTACTCTTAAGATGTGAGGATTTTCCTTTCTTTACATTTCCCTCACTTCTTTTTTGCATAGCTTATGGTGACTAATTTCATATTGTTGTGGCATTTTATCTTATCTTTGATTTTGTTTTCTTTTTTTTTTTTTAAATATTTTTATTTATTTCTAGGAGAGAGAGAGACAGCGTGAGCAGGGCAGGGTCAGAGAAAGAGGGAGAAGAGGGAGTCACAGACTGAAGCAGGCTCCAGGCTCTGAGCTGGCAGCCAGCACAGAGCCCGACGCGGGGCTCGAACCCACGAACCGCGAGATCACGACCTAAGTGAAAGTCGGACGCTTAACCGACTAAGCCACCCAGGCGCCCCTGATTTTGTTTTCAAAGAACTGTCTCCCATGTTAGTATAACAAATGTCTGTGTTTTTTTTTTTTTTGTACTCTGGCACACAATTTCTTCTAAAGCTTATTCTTTTGTGTAGACATCATCTAAATGTATATTTCTATTGCTGCATTTCCATGTGTAGTTGATATCTTGCATGGCTGTTATAGAAGTACTGCCTTGTTTTAAATGTTCATTTGTTTATTTTGAGAGAGAGGGAGAGAGAGAGACAGAGACAGAGACAGAGAGAGAATGAGTAGGTGAGGAGCAGAGAGGGAGGGAGGAAGAGAATCCCAAGCAGGCTCCATGCTGTCAGCACAGAACCCGATGTGGGGCTCGAACTCACAAACTGGGAGATCATGACCTGAGCCTAAATCCAGAGTCAGAAGCTTAACCTACTGAGCCACCCAGGTGACCCAGAAGTACTGTCGTTTTGAATCAAAGTTTTATTCTCCTGTATCCAGAGAACTATTAAGTTGCAAAACAAAGATTCTGTAGGTCAACAGTGTGAAGGATCTCATGACACAAAGGATTTTCAAAAGCATGTGCTTTGTTACCCAGTGTAACAAGAGTGACAATTCATCTATATATATGTTGAGGCCTCGCTCAACCAATATTCCTCTCTCTACCTTGACTCTCTCCTCCTTGTTCCAAACCTGCAGCTGGAAAAGGCCCTGACCTATGAGGAGCTGAGCCAGTGGACCAGTGAAGACATGATGGAGTTGTGTGAGGTGCAGCTGTACCTTCCCAAGTTTATGCTTGAAGAGACGCATGATCTCAAGTCGACCCTGAGCAGCATGGGGATGAGCGACGCCTTTAACGAGGCCATAGCTGATTTCTCAGGAATGTCTATGGGGAGAAACTTATTTCTGTCCAATGTTTTCCACAAGGCTTTTGTAGAAATAAATGAACAAGGTACCGAGGCTTCAGCCGGTACTGGGAGTGAGGTGAGTTTTCGAAGTAAACTCCCCTCCATTGAATTTAATGCAAACCACCCATTCCTCTTCTTCATCAGGCACAACAGAACCGATAGCATTCTCTTTTACGGGAGATTCTGCTCCCCCTAAACCATATATCTCTCTCATCAAATAAGACCGTTTTACAGTGTGAAAAGCACACCAAAAGATGGAAAAACACAATTATAATAAAAACCAGTTTAGAGCTTGTATCTTTTTCACATTCGAATGTTCGCTGATAAGCCTTGAAATAATGCAATCTAGTGATTTTATCGTACCTATAGAGCTATTTTTGCCACTTAACATTTTGTCTTAATGTGACTTTTATTTACATTTCAGACGTACTATGTTATTCAATTGAGTGCCTTAGCATTTTTGAACCCCGTGGTCACTGTATTATCATTGTCACGTATAAGTCACGTGCCTCATTGAGCGAAGAAAAATCTTTACAAAGGTGATATATGGATAAGCAAGAATTTTCTCAGGAGTGGAATTTTGATAGTTCACAAACTACCACTATAAAATGAAGCTCCCACACTTTCTGAGTAGTAAAAAAGTACTTCTGTTAACATTAGTAGAAAAGCCATGAAATCCAAACGAAATATGGAGTTTAGTTCATAACAATGATCCAGTGTTGCCTTTTTAGTTTGAACAAATGTATAATGATAATGTTAGATGTTAGCACTGCGGAAAATGTGTTAGGCGTATACACAATTCCCTGGATTATCTTTGCCACTTTTCTGCGACTGTAAAAGTATTCAAAAATAAACATTTCACTACGAATAATTATCCTGTATAAAAGTGGAGTCATACTAATATCCCTCCTTTTAAAAATCTTACGAAGTAGAAGAACACATTTCTTTTTTTTATATTCTTTTTTTTTTACAAATAGTTTATTGTCAAATTAGTTTCCACATAACACTCAGTGCTCATCCCCACAAGTGTCCTCCTCCATACCCATCCCCCCTCCCCCCCACATCCATCAGTCCTCAGTTTTTGTCAGCATTCAAGAGTCTCTCATGGTTTGCCTCTCTCCCTTTCCCCCGCCATTTCCCCCCTTCTTCTCCCCCTTGTTCCTCCGTCAAGTTCCTCCTAATCCTCCTATACGTGCAAACATATGATATTTGTCCTTCTCTGCCTGACTTATTTCGCTCATCATAACACCCTCAAGGTCCATCCATGTTGCTACACATGGCCAGATTTCATTGTTTCTCATTGCCATGGAGTATTCCATGGTATAGATAAACCACATAGAAGAACACATTTCTAATTGATATAATAAATATTGTAAGTTATAAGTGTAAGTTATAAGAAGATGCTTTTAGAAACACTAAATCTTCATAAAATCGGCTGTGTTTTTCCAATTTCTTCAAAAGCTGTTCACACAACTGCTTACTGGTAGCCCATTAGCTGTTATTCTAATTTTAGAGGTTGATTATATACTCTAGGTTCTTTTTTACATTCATCTGATAAAATGAAAGACTAGATCTGTCATGAACAGTGTATAAATTAGTATAAGAAAGTGTGTTTTCTGGTATCAAATCCTGGTTCAGTATTATAGGATTAAAAAAAAAAAAAGCCCTAGCTCCAAAGACAGGAAATTGTAATACGTATGACATTTTATCATATCTCTATGAAATATTTCGCCCCAATCCATATCTCACACTAAGTCGCAGCAAAACAAATCCTTTGTGTCTGTGTTCTAGTAAATTAAAAGTCCTCGAATATCATAAAGGAAGACCACCATAACACTCTCAGAGACTGACAATCACAGAATATTGAACACAATGTTTTTCAAACAAACGACAAGGAAAAAAGGATGATACTAGAAACTTCGGATGAGTGAGAATGAGATTAGTAGAATAAGCTTTGCAATCAGTATGCTATTTTGTGTAATTTTTTATTTTTATAATTTAACTAGTTTTTGAAAAGTTTATTTTTGAGAGAGAGCATGAGAGGAGGGTGCGGGGATAGAGAGGTGGTCAGAGAATCTGAAGCAGGCTCTGTGTTGACAGCACAGAGCCTGACACAGGGCTCAAACTCACAAACCATGAGATCATGACCTGAGCCAAAGTCGGATGCTTAACCGACTGAGCCACCCAGGCAACCCTATTTTGTGTGTATTTTTAAAACATGTTTGAATCTTAGAAAAGTCTAGTTCACTAGACTTTTAAGTCTTGATTTATTAGATTCACGGAAATTCAAATGTTTGTGAAAGTGTGTTTGTGGGGCACCTGGGTGGCTCAGTCGGTACAGCGTCCAACTCTTGATATCCGCTCAGGTCACGATCTCGAAGTCCTAAGATCGAACTCCTCATGGAGCTCCATGATGAGCGTGGAGCCTGCCTGGGATTCTCTCTTTCCCTCTCTTTCTGCCCCTGTCTGCTTTCTCTCTCTCAAAATAAATAAATAAATAAATAAATAAATAATTTTTAAAAGTGTGTTTGTGAAATTTTGTAAATCTATTTTAAAGGTGTTTAAGGTTTATAAAGATCTGACAGATTATGTAATCAGTTCTTAAAGATTTAAGAAAAATTAATTTCTTGCCTACGTAGGTAGTGTGCTTTAATGTTCGAGAAAAAAATTATTTTTACTTGTTTGGCAAAAAATAAATTGCCTGTTAACTCAGGTACGAAGGTAGGAAAGTTGTTCCCTGCTTATGAAATTATACTTCAGGACTGAAACTCCCACAAACTTTAAAGAACCGTTTCCTCACCAGCAGGGGGGCAGAGCAGGAGAAGAAAACTGGAATTCATGAGTTTCTCAAATAGGAGTGAGCGTGTGAAAAATCATCCACAAGGTTTTCCCGATCTGTAGAACATTTAGGGGCTCGTTTGCCGTAGGTACCTAGAAAACTAAAGAAATGGGGAAGAAGGCAGTGTGAATATAAGGAAAAATGGTGTTATATGAAAAAGGAATGCATTCATAGGACAGACACTGTTTAACTTAGCAATGAGTACTATTTAGTTGTGATAAAGTAAACACAGTAAGTGAGACAGTGTGAGTGGTGTGAGAGGACTGAATCCTCAGCCTCTAAAGTAGGAAGGATAATGTCTATAGTTGTTAGATCGAAAATGGTAGTACACCCATATTACTTGGAAATATGAAGGCAGATACCAGGAGAAAGAACAAATGACCAGAGAGGGATTGCTTCTGGGGAGTTGGGAGGGGAGGCTCGGAACCTATTATCTTTTCAAATATCTCCTCCGGCACTGGGCTTTTTCAGCTAAGTGTACACACATTCATTTCACCAAAAAAATTTTAAGAAACCCTAAGAAAAACATAACTAACATAAAATTTCCCCATTGCCCAGAGACAGGTGATGTACAGAATTTATTTCCTTCTGGTCTGTCTATATAATTTTGCTCACATGCAAGCTTATTCCTAATTTACACTTAATATCATTCCCATGGCAATACTGTTTTTTTTTTTTCTACAGGATACATTAGTTTCCTAAAATGGATGTGGTAGAATCTAATCTGTTCTCTCTTGTTGGGCATTTAGAGGTCTTCTCTGTGCATAGGAAGTCAAAGATGAAGTGGCCATCGTTCTGCATAATATTCTACTCCATATCTGTGAGTTTTACTTTCAGTGAAATTCCTTGAAATGACATTTTTGATTCAGAAGGTATACATGTTTTCATGGCAATTTCTTTTCTTCTTTCTTATTTTGCCCATCTTTCTTTTTCTTTTCTTTTCTTTATATAATTCTAAATCAGACTCTGGAAGTAACTGCTAGCCAATTTACAGCATTGCTTATGTAGAATAAGAAGTCATGCACATATATATGGGGCACCTGGGTGGCTCAGTCAGTTAAGCATCTGACTCTTGTTTTTGGCTTAGGTCATGATCTCGATGTTCGTGAGATCGAGCCCTGCTTCGGGCTCTGTGCTGACAACGTGGAACCTTCTTGGGATTCTCTCCCTCCCCCTCTCTCTCTCTCTCTCTCTCTCTGTTCCTCCCCAACACATGCCCCTTCTCTCTCTCTCTCAAAATAAATAACCCTTTTTTTTTTTTTAAATAAAAAGCCATGCCCATCTTACCAGAATTGGAAATTTTTAGTTTTTATACTTGCAGATTTTTACATTTTCAGAAGGTAACTTTAATTTGCTCTTCCCCACTTCTTCTTCTTTTTTTTTTTTTTGGAAGGCCATCATGTAGCAGTTGATTGAAACAGTGAACTCGAAAGTCACACAGACCTGGCTTCCAATCCTCTGTCGATTGCTTAGAGCGGTGTGACCTCAGAGACCAGAAACTTAAATAGTTAAGGCTCAATGCTTCTCTCAGATATTCACAGCACCGACCTCACAGAGTTGTCCAGACTAAATGATTTCTTGCAAGAAAAGCTCTAGTATAGGTTCTAGCACATAGTATATAGTCAAGAAATATTTATTATTTTCGCTGAGGTTAGCAATTTTTATATGATTAGCTATAGCTTTTGTTTTCATTCCCTTTATAATTTAATTTGAGTATAGTTGACAAAGTATGTTACATTAGTTTCCAGTGTACAACAGCCATTGCTTTTCTTTGTTGCAAATTTGCTAATGTCTTTTGCACATATTTCTACTAGGGTCTTTTTTTTTAAATCAACTTTTCTTTTGAGCTATTTAAGTGACATTAAAAATTTTTTTTCAAATGTTTTCTTATTGTCTCATTCATCTCTTAATTTTGTGGCATCTTTTTGACCTGGAAATCAAATACTTTTTGTCAAACGTATTGAACTTTTGTGATGACTCATTGTGAACGTTTCAGAATACTGACAGGTAATGTAGCAGGATTCTTGTGCAGAGAGTGATGACATCGAGGCTTTTCTTTCCAGGAAGCAACTTTATTCCTATTTCTGCCGGCACTGCTCAGGGGGGTTCATACCCAAAGAACTGAGCCCCGAATGCCACGTGGTATAGTTTTTATGTATTTTTTACTTCTTTGTCTCCCATATGTGGTAACACACACACATGCAGTCTGATTAAGTGGTCTCATATTGCAAGGTTGTGAGGGATGTTGTCGTGTATGGGAATAGCCAGGTTGCCTTGAGGTTTTTTTTTGTTTTTTTGTTTTCTTTCCTTTGGGAGGGGACCGACCCTACCACAGTAAAATCTTAATTTTGTAAATATTTATAAAAGATATCAGAGCAGAAAGGTACTGTTCCCACGGAGCTCACCTACTTACCTACCCGGATTTCTGTCTTCATTTACAGACTTTCTGGCTAATGGGGCCTTTTAGTTCACCTCTGGTTCTCATTCAGATTCCCCTCTGCTCCTCCCCTGCCCTTCCTAAAGTTAAGGGCTCTTCAACAATGGCCACAACACAGGGCATTGGTGTGAGGTTAATTGATTATTTGCATTTTTTTAAAACTCTAGTGTTCCAAATGTGCTGACCTCTTCTGTGATGTCTGTAAAACCATGTGATGGCTAGTAAAACACCTAGCAAGTATTTTTTTAAAAAAAAAAATACTGTTGTTTGACAACTGCCTTTTAGGCAAAGCTGTGTTTTATCCATGAATGTGAAATCAATTGCTTTTGAGAGATCATTCGAGAACATCTATTGGGATGTTTTTCCATTGTTATCTGATTTTATTCCTAAAAAAATGTTAAAACTGGGAGTACTTAAAAAACTTGCAAAAATGTAATTTTCCAAGCTTCATAAAAATCTTCTCAAGAGAAAATGTTTGGTGGGCTTCTAACTGTTCAAATACTGAAAGTATAACATTGAAAAGTTTTGGTTTGCAAAAGTAAATGGTTTTCAAGGGGTTACACAGATTTTTAACATTTAGACTTCAACCAGAAATCTTTGCACAGTCAGTATGTGAATGAAAATCAAGTATCAAGGTTTAGTCAATACAAACAATGATGCCTTTATTTTAATTAATTCCCTTCCCTTCCCTTCAAAAAGTTTTTAATCTTTATTTTTGAGAGGCGACAGAGGGACGGGGCGGGGCGGGGGGGGGGGGGGCACATAATTCCAGCAGCTCCAGGGTCTGAGCTGTCAGCACCGAGCCCAACGTGGGCCAAGAACCCGGGGACCCGGGAGAGATCACGACCTGAGCTGAAGTCTGAGGATCAACGGACTGAGCCACCACCCCAGGCGCCCCTTGCACATCCTTCATTTGTTCTTCTCTGGTCTTGCTTTTATAGTCCGTTTCCAAGGCGAAGCCCCAAATCTGAAACTACTGTTGCGCGCGCGCGCGCGCACACACACAACACACACACACACGGAGGCGCTCGGCGAACACCGTCCCAAGTCCGGGCCCAGCGCCCCCGCGAGGCCGAGTGCACACACGCACACACACACACACACCCACACACACACCCACGAGGAGGCGCTCGGCGAACACCGTCCCAAGTCCGGGCCTAGCGCCCCCGCGAGGCCGAGTGCACACACACACGCACACACGCACGCACGCACACACACACACACACACACACACGAGGAGGCGCTCGGCGAACACCGTCCCAAGTCCGGGCCCAGCGCCCCCGCGAGGCCGAGCGCACCCGCGCGGGGGCACCAGGACCGCGGGGGCGGCGGGGCTGCAACCCCGGCCGGCTCTGAGTCACCCGCCGGGAGCCTCGCCCTGGATCTGGGCGGCCGGGAAGCGCGCAGCCGGCTGGGGCAGCAGCCGCCGCGGGAGCAGGAACGGCGCAGGTACCGGGCTGGGAGGCGCGCCGGGCCCCGCTTCCCCCGGCGGGAGTCCCCGGGCTGGAGCGCGGCGGCGGCGGCGGAGGGGCGGCGGGCGCTGGCGCGGCGGATCGCAGCGGACGGCCGCGGGGGGGGGGGGGGGGGGGCTGACGCCGCCGGGCCGCGACTTGCCCGCAGGAGGGCGAGGCCGGTAACCCGCGCCTGGGGCGCTGATGCGGGAGAAAGCGGGGCCGACAGCCCTGCGCGCGTGCGTGGAGCCGCCGCGGGTGCAGGGGGGGCGTGGGGCGCCCCGCGCAGCCGGGCCTGGGATGTCGGGGAGCCTCAGGCGAGCTCCGGGGAGGAACTGGGTCAGCGCCACCTCCCGGGAGATCGCCTGCGGGCTCCGCGGCCCCTCCCTCCTCCTCTCTGCCGCCTTCCCTCCCGGGCTTCCGCCTTCCTTCTTGTTTTCTGGTTTTTTTCCATTGTCTTTCTGGTTTTCTGTGTTTCAATTTCCCTCCCTCCCTTTCCTTCCTTCCTTCCTTCCTTCCTTCCTTCCTTCCTTCCTTCCTTCCTTCCTTCCTTCCTTCCTTCCTTCCTTCCTTCCTTCCTTCCTCCCTTCCTTCCTTCCTTCCCTCCCTCCCTCCCTCCCTTTTTTTTAATCTTTATTTTTGAGAGGCGGCGGAGGGACGGGGGGGGGGCACATAATTCCAGCAGCTCCAGGGTCTGAGCTGTCAGCACCGAGCCCAACGTGGGCCAAGAACCCGGGGACCCGGGAGAGATCGCGACCTGAGCTGAAGTCTGAAGATCAACGGACTGAGCCACCACCCCAGGCGCCCCTTGCACATCCTTCATCTGTTCTTCATTGGCTGCTTGTTCTCAACTTGAGAAAATGCTTCCTTGCCAGTTTCCATCTCCTCTGCAGCCACAGTAATTAATTTAACGGACGCCCCGCTTCCCAGCTCCTCCCCACCTGCTGCCCGCACTCCTTGCCTCCCACCCACTGCGCTGCCTTTCTGTCGTCCTTCAGCCTTCCCATTGTCTGTTCCCTGGGCCCCCAGCCGCACCCCGTCACCCCCCAGGCCCTCCAGGGCATCCCTGTCTTCTTGGGCTACTCCTTTTTCTACCTACAAACGCTGGAAATTCTTAAAAACCAGATGAGTTTCTTCTCTTGTGCCTTCTCTGTATGTGCTGGGTGATTTCTTCCCACTCAGCTGGAATCTAGGGCAATCGCCCATGGCTCTCCTCTCTGGCTGTGGGAAGTCTGCCCGTCTTCAGAAACCTGCCCGTATTTACAGAGGCCCCTTGGCTGTCTTTGTTAGGGGTCCTGGGGTGGTGTGTTCCCTGCATCTCAAACGGGATGTATCGCCTTCCTCGTTCCCTCCGGCTCCTCACACAAACTTCCAGTGGTTCATGGCTCACCCTAAACATAAATTAGCTGCGAGTCTGTTAAAAGATAAACTGAGACGTATTAAAAAGTTAAGTTTAGGGATGCCTGGTTGGCTCAGATGGTTGAATGTTCCACTCTTGATTTTGATTCAAGTCGTGATCTCACGTCCTGTGTTCAAGCCCCAGTCTGGCTCTACTCTGAGAGCATGGAACCTGCTTGGGATCCCCCCCCACCCCTCAAAATAAGTAAATAAGCATTTTCTAAAAAAAAAAGTTTATTTGAGCAAGATTGATTTGGATGGGGCAGTATCCAATGTAGCAGGTGGAAAGGAGCTCTGAGTTGCTGTAGGAAAGCAAAGATTTATAAGCAGAAAGGAGAGGGAGCAGGAAGATACAGGAAATTATATCCCTGCGATAGAACAGGGAAACATCACAAAAGTCCCTTTCCCCTAGGGAATGGCAGGGGTCTGTCAGGTAGGTGACCTCATTGTCGCTGGTCAGGCGGGTCCTGACTGGCTGGTTTAAGATCCCACTTCTGGGAGAGCAGGCATGTAATTAGGTTACATCTCTGGATCAGGGCTGGGCCTAAGCAACTCCGTCTGGGGACTTTCCTCTTGTTTTTAACCAGCCTGGGCGGTAACCCCTGACTTCCTGCTCCCTGTCACCCAGCCCGACGGTGCCCGCTTCTGCTCTCTGGGGCTCTTGTTTCCTGGGTGTTTGGCGGTGGCTGGTCTGCCGGCGGGNGGGGGGGGGGGAGCGGCTTCCCCAGCCTTTCACCAGGCTCAGCGGTGAGACCCGCAGTTTCCTAACTGCACCCATATGACATTTGTCATATCAGAGACGTCCTATGTCTTGTTTTGAAAAAATACCTTGGAAAGAACCGCTGGACAGGCTCTGGTTGAAACAGTTGACCCCATCCTTGCCCTGCCTACCCATCTGCTCTCTCCTCTCCTGCCCCTGAGAGATCCAGGATGCCCTCCCCCCCCCCCCACTCCCATTCCTGCCAAGACCTAACGAAATGCAGCTGCAAGGCTGCTGTAGGAGGCGCTTCTAGTCTTCTGCAGAACTGGAAGAAGAAAGGTCAAATGACGATCCCTCGGTTGATGAAAATGGACAGATACACGATGATCTTTATCTCTAGGTGGAGATTCCAGTGCTTTTGGTATTGCTTCTTTTTTCATTTTCCAAACAGGAACCGAGTTTTCTTGTGCCCCTTTAAGATTGTTGAGCTAAAAATGTATATACAAATAAAAACAAAGGATAACATCATAGGCAGAATAGAAATAAACAGCTCATGCGGGACTTATAATAATTTGCTGAAATTGTAATTGACAAGCTGCAATAACTTTTCACTTCTTGGAGCAAGGGGTCTGCTGCAGTCCCACAGAGACTGGGAGGTAGGGGAGCTGGCGTCCTTGATAAATCCATTTTTAAAAGTTTATTTATTTTGAGAAAGAGAGTGAGCAAGGGAGGCTCAGAAAGTGAGGGAGCGAGAGAGAGAAAATCCTAAGCAGGCTCTGAGCTGCCAGTGCAGAGCCTGATGTGGGGCTCGATCTCATGAATTGGGAGGTCATGACCTGAGCTAAAATCAAAAGTTGGATGCCTAACCAACTGAGCTACCCAGGCGCTCTGATAATTCCATTTTTAAAATATTTATTTTTTTGAGAGAGACAGAGACAGAGCATGAGCAGGGGAGGGGCAGACAAGGAGGGAGACACAGAATCCAAAGCAGGTTCCAGGTTCTGAGCTGTCAGCACAGAGCCCGACCTGAGACTCGAACTCACAGACTGTGAGATCATGACCTGAACTGAAGTCAGGTGCCCCCGATAATTCCATTTTTAAAAATTTATTTATTTATTTATTAAAAACATTTTTTAAATTTTTTTTAAATTTATTTCCGAGAGAGAGAGTGTGAACAGGGAAGGGTCAGAGAGAGAGGCTCCCAGGCTCTGAGCTAGCTGTCTGCACAGACCCCGACACGGGGCTCAAGCACACGAACTGTGAGATCATGACCTGAGCTGAAGTCAGACGCTTACCCGACTGAGCCACCCAGGTGCCCAGATAATTTCATTTTCAAAGGAATGGCTTCTAGCAGTTGAGAAAACCTGACTGGCTTGGGTTTAAAACAGGAAAGAGGCTTTTCAAAATACAGTAAAACCTTGGTTTGTGATCATAATTCATTCTGGAAACCTGCATGTAAGCCAAAGTATTTGTATATCAAAGTGAATTTCCCCGGAAGAAATCATGGAAACTCAGATGATCCGTTCCACAACTCAAAAATATTCATATAAAAATGATTATAATACTGTTCTATAATATAACATCATAAAGAAAACAGAAAGAAAAATAAACAAATTAACCTGCACATACCTTTGAAGACCTTTGTGGCTGGTGTGAGGAAGGTGAGAGGGAGGGTTATTGTGTAGGACGACTTTCACTATCACTAACGGATGTTGCCTACAGTAGTATAGTATGATTTAACTTTTGTCATAGGCTGTATTTGATGTCACTGGCAATAAGGCAGCAGAGGAAAGGCTCTAGATCTGCAGGCAGCAGCCTGGCCTGGAAGGAAGCAAAGCCTTCCTAAGTTCACTCTTGTATGGAAAAGCAAAGGACTGTCCGTAGGTGCTTCGAAGTGACCAAAAATACAGTAGTGCCAGGTGCGGGCACCTTCCAACATTCCGAAAAATCACTGATTTCTGCCAGATGCCGTGGCCTGAGCATGGGGACGATCACCCACAGTCCCTCAGAGACAGAGTGAGAGAGAAGAACCATTGGCTCAGTGTGACCATGTGACATTCCGTATCACGTACCACTGCTATTGCAAGACCTCGCTTGTTTATCAAATTAAATTTGATTAGAAATGTTTGCTTGTCTTGCCGAACATTCCCAGAACAAGTTACTCACCATCCAAGGGTTTACTGTATTTTTATCTCAACAGAGCAGAGAAACAATTTACAGTGATGCATTGTCTCAAGTAAATTTTCTAAGGAAAGGGAGGTCAGCAAGGCAGGAAGGAGTAAGCTGGGGTGAAGGTCAGGTTGGACTCAGAATTGGTGCCTCTGACTCAGTGTCCACCTGATAGGACTTGAGACTTTTTTGCTTCCCTGCTTATGGGCTCCATTGCTGGCTACCCCCCCCCCCCCTTTAATTTCACACCAGATACACTCCATGGAAAACAGTGTATCTTTTTGGAGTCCTCCTGATTCAAAGTGAATTTTTTGTCTTCCCAGTAGCTCGCATTTTAGGTCAGACTTTCCTAAACCCACCCTTAAAATTTGTTGAAATCCATCCAGTTGATTTCACACGACATGGTGAGAGAAATGTTATTTATTTACAAAAATTATTTATTTTTATTTTTTAAAATTTATTTTGATGGAGAGAGGGAGAGGCTGAGAGAGAGGGAGAGAATCCCAAGCAGGACTCCGTGCTGTCAGCAGGAAGCCTGGTGTGGGGCTTGAACTCACAAACCGTGAGATCACGACCTGAGCCAAAATCCAGAGTCAGATGCTCAGCCGACTGAGCCACCCAGGCGCCTACAAGGACTTATTTACAACAGACCACTGTGTATAGATTATGCTAGAGAGACCAAACTGAGGGAGAACTTGCAGCACTACGGGGTCTGTGTAATGATGAAGAACTCAGGCTCCGGGATGAGACCTCAGGTTCCGACCCTGATTCCTCAAGGACTGGGGGATCTGGAAGCGGCTCATAGGCTTCACCCAGGCTCCCTGTCTGTAAGGTGGGTCAACTGTAGTGGCCTCATGTATTGTTGTGGGATTAAGAGATTCCTGTAAAACAAGAGAACCTGGCACTGAGACGTGCTGGCCATTGTGACACGAAGGGAGGGTCTCGGAGGGATGCTGAGCCTCTGCAGTGGTCCTGTGGCTGATGGTGCCATCGTCCTTCAGCCCTGCGATTGGCTACTTTGTGAATAAACCGGCGTAGCCTGGGTGGCTCAGTTGGTGAAGCACCCTACTCTTGATTTCAGCTCAGGTCAACATCTCACGAGTTGGTGAGATCGAGCCCCATGTTGGGCTCTGTGCTGACAGCGTGGAGCCTGCTTGGGATTCTCTCTCCCTCTCTGTGCCCCTCCTGGCTCGGGCTCTCACTCTCTAAACAAATGAACAAACATAAAAAATTACTTCAAAATAGGTCCGCAGAGCTTCGTGTTTTCCTGGAGGCTCTAGGGCAGAATCCGTTTCCTGGCCTTTGGCAGCTCCTGCGGGCTGCCTGCGTTCCATGCTCTGTGGCCTCGGGTCCTTCTGACCTTCACTTCTGCAGCCTCATCTTCTCTGACTCTGACCTCCTGCCTTCCTCTTATAAGGAGCCCGTAGTTACACCCAGCCCCCCCGGATAATGCAGGCAATCTCCCCATCTCATGATCCTTCATTCATCCATCACATCTGCAAGGTCCCTAATGCCACAGAAGGTAACAGAGGCCTGGGGCATTCGGCGTGGATGGCTGTGGGGGCGCAGCTATGCCGCTGACCACACCCAGTGGCCACTGATAGGGGTGCTCGTGACCAGATGACATGGCAGTGGGCGTGGTTGATGTGCCTCTGTGTTGTGCTTTTGGTGCAGACCTTCCCTGATGGATAATCTCTATGAAGCAAACGGCAGTTTTGCCATCAACTTATTAAAAATGTTGGGTAAAGAGGACAGCTCACGAAACGTGTTCTGCTCCCCTCTGAGCATCTCGTCTGCCCTGGCCATGGTCTTCATGGGGGCCGAAGGAGACACTGCCACCCAGATGTCCCAGGTATGCCTGCCTATCGCAGAGGAAGAGCGGCGGGTTGCTTCTTTGCTTCCTTTGATGCTTTCACAGAGATGGTTTCTTCCTACCTCACAGCAGCTGAGGAAAGCCAGCGTGGCCGCTGGGTGGTGAGGGGCACCGTAGTGAGGGAAACAGAGCAGACGTGGGCAGAAATGAGAATTATTTAAGATCCATTAGCATTTATCATACCCTTAGCATTTAGAGGAGAAATCAAGTCCTTGTGTCCTTTTCGTTGGATAAAGGCATCAGTATGTTACAGCAAATCATAACTTTGATGCGTAAGGTGAGTTATAATTCTGACCCACAAGAAGTCCAAGCGTTTCAACTTTGTTATATTTTAAATTTTGGCTAATGGTTTATATTAGACTGAATTGCAGCCGTGTGAATGAACTTTCTGTAAAATGGGTTCTTTCTAGTGTGTGATTGTGCACAAGTGCAAGACGAAAGTAACACCAGTGTGGACTTCCATCTCTGGGATTATTTAGAGGGAATATGGGATGTGACTGATGGGAACTGGGTGCTGTGGGATCTGAGCTACAAACGAAGTAGTGCCGAACACTTGAGGGAAATAGTCTTGACCTCTTTGTATCTTAAGTTTCTTCGACAACCTTGGGAGTGGCCCAGAACATTGCCAATACACACCACTTTCCCATTAATAGCCCTCTGGAGGTGCTCGCTGGAGGAGGGAGGCTTTGGACTGGGGCCCTTGGGAGAGAGAGGAACAACCTTAATTTCTACTCTGACTTGACTTGGAAGTCACCATCTGGCTGGAGAACTTATGTGAAATTGATGATGAAATATTTTCTGTTGATTTCTGTTCACTCTTGTATTCTGTGGGTTGTGCTGGATTCATTCCAGCTACCTACTTGTTGTGTTCTGTCTCCCTCCTGAGTTATCACACCTGTCTTTCTTCTTTATTTTTTATTAAAAATTATTTTTATTTAATGTTTATTTATTTTGGAGAAAGAGAGAGAGAGAGAGAGACAGGGTGTGAGCAGGGGAGGGGCAGAAAGAGAGGGAGACAGAATCTGAAGCAGACTCCAGGCTTGAGCTGTCAACACAGAGCCCTATGTGGGGCTCGAACTCACGAACCGTGAGATCATGACCTGAGCCGAAGTCAGACGCTTAAGCGACTGAGCCACCCAGGCCCCCATTGCATCCATGTTTCTAAGTGGGGAAGTCAGCCAGGGCGGGTTTCCCACTTGGGGGCAATTTTGCTTCCATGGGATTCCCCAGTGTCTGTGAAGCTTGGTTGTTGTAATCGAGAGGTGCTACTGACACCTAGTGGGTAGAGGCAGAAATGATGCAAAATATCTTAACACAGAACAGCAACAAAGCACCTGGCCCCAAAAGTCAGTAGTGCCCAGGTGGAAAAGGGCTGTGTGAGGCTGAAACCAAACTCCGTTCAAGATGGGGTCCTTTGTGATTTTCAGCGCAGGGGTTTGTGTGGACGTAGCTCTTTGGGGGACCAAGATGACGGCAACGTTACGAGCCTGTGTCCTTGTTTCCTATTACCAGGCCCTTTGTTTGAACAGAATTGGAGATATTCACCAAGGTTTCCAGGCACTTCTCACGGAGGTGAACAGATCTGGCACTCAGTACCTGCTCAGAACTGCCAACAGACTCTTCGGAGAGAAGACGTGTGACTTCTTTCCCGTAAGTTGTCCTCCCGCATCGTTGTCAAGGAAATTGAAGATGAAATAGAAACTACGAAAGAACAGAGATAAAGTATAATTCTCTTCCCTTATAAATGTGCTTAGCACTGTACTTCTGTAATAGTAATTTTGAATTTTATGTTTGCCTCTGAATTATGTCCTTTTCAAAGTTATTTTTGATAGATTCCTTCCAGATGTCAATCTCAATATGTCCGGTCTCCTGCATCCAGACCTGCTTCTCCCCGTTGACCCCTCTCCTCAGCGACCACACAGTCTTGTGTGCATACATAGCTATCCCGAGTCTCAGCTCTGGTTTTTGGGCTGTCCCTGCAGAGCTGGTCTCTCAAGGCCTCTTAAATTTGTCCCCTTTTCTGAATCTCCACCACCGCTGCCTGGGTGTAGACTCTCACTGTATCTTCTACACCATTATTTAATTCTTCCCTAATGGAACTCTCCAAGTCCTGCCAGGTTCTTCCACATTCCTGATGGAATAATCTTTCTCAAATGCAAATTGGTTCATGAAACAGGTTTTTAAATCTGTGTAGTTAGTTCCTAATAGGCTATCAGAAGTGTAAGTAAGTGAGGGCCAAAAAACTATGCTACACACCATGCAGATTGAGGCTACGTCAGATTAATGAAGCGATCTAGGCAAACCCGCCATTGTACTGGCTGGGAGTTCCAAGGATTCTTCTGTGAGACTCAAATACCTCCCTGTCCTGGCTGCTGTTGGGTGCTACTCCATGGTGGTTGCTTGCTCTGGGCCTCAGTATCATTGGAGAAAATTCTGGATCTTCTACAACAAGCACTGACGATCCAAGGAACCTCCTGGTTGATGTTCATTGTTGAATGTTGGCCTAATCTTTGAATATTGTAACTGGGGAATATTGGGGACACAGGGAGCCACCTTCCCCTTTTCTCAGTTGCTTGGCTCCTCTTTCTCTCTACATTTTCTTTCTTCTGTAGAAGCTAAAATATTTGAGAGCAGGAGATGGGCGGAGCATGGGAGCCAATTGCCAGGCACATTATATCTGAAACCCAAGTTTTGGTGAGGTGAGTTATCTTTGGGATTTCATGTGTTGAGTGCAGGCCCTTCCTGACTTGGTCTTACCTTACATTTCAAGGCTCATCCTTTGCCACTGTTCTCCCTAATCCCCACCTCCCCACCCCCACAGCCCCACGGTCATCTAGACCTGTCACATCGCACTCCGGGAGGACACAGCGATTTCAGGATGATCTGGTTCCACTGCGGAGCCTCCCAGTCATTCACAAACCTCAGACATTATGGTTGGTGCTGGTGATGCAAAAATGAACAAAAGAAAGTTAGAGTACCTGGCAGACAGACAGATAATCAAGCAGGAAGTCAGGGTGGAGGGGAAGCGTCTGACGGACGTTCACGCGGTTGTGTGCGTGGCTGCCGGCGTCCGCGTCCTCGAAGCACAGTTACTGCCTGTGTGTGGATGTGGTTCCTCCCAGCCGACTGTGAGCCACCCCAGGCCCGGCGTCCGCCCGCTGGCACGCGGCGAGGCCCCGAGTGGGCGGCCCACCATTCGTGCCAGCTGCGTGAACCAGTCTTAAAATGCAGGGTGGCCCGAGCAGGAACTTATGCTGGAAATGTGTTCAGAGCACGGTGTGTCCACGCCCGCGGGCACGTCGCTGACCCGGGTGAACGCGGTGCCCTGTGTCTGCAGGCCTTTAGAGAGTCCTGCTGGAAGTTCTACGGGGCGGAGCTGGAGGAGGTGTCCTTCGCGAAGGACACGGAAGAATGCAGGAGGCGCATAAATGACTGGGTGACAGAAAAGACCGAAGGTGAGAGATTTTCGCTGCAGTACTCTTGGTGTTTTGCAGGAAAGAGAGCCGAGAGTGGTGGGGGTGTGGCCTCCGTGGTGTCCCCCTCCCCCACCCCGGGACCCTGGACCCAGTGCCCTTCTTGTGTATGTGTCTTTGCCCGATTTTCAGGCCAGCAATGCAATTCTGTTCTTTTCCTTGGCTTTATGAGATCACGAAGTGGGGATTGCTAAAAAATACGTAAACCTAGTGTAAGGATCTCAGACCCTCTCCCCTCTGGACTGTGCTGGAAAATTCTGGAAAAATGCTTCCTTTTTGGGGCCCTGTTAATCTTCTGTCTTGGGAGAGGGAGACCCTTGCCTGGCCCTGAGGGCAGAGTGACATTCAGTTGAGGTGGCAGCTGAGATAGGGCAACGTTTCCCGCCATCTCCCTGAGGCAGTGAGCAGGGCTGCGGCGGCGAGCAGGGCTGGTTTTGTCTGCAGGCCTCCCCTTCCTCGCTGTTGTGGCCGTGGCCGAGTAGCTTTCAGAGCACCACCTTCTCTGACTTTGCTGCAGACTCTGGAGGTGCAGCGTCCGCTGTCCAGACCACAGTCTGTCGTATCAGCAGTGTTTTTGCCAGTGCTTGATGGGAGTACAGCGGAAAAGGGCATGCTGTTAAGCACTCCAAGTACCTAGCGCAACTTAGAGACTTCCAGAAGCGTGCGTGGGGGGGGAAGTTAAACCACTTATTTCCTTACCCAGCACATGTGGGTACGTCCCTCAGTCTTTATGGTGTGCCCAGTGCATGTCAGGCAGCAGCAGTGATTACACTGAAAGCCAATAAAATAATGACCTTAGGAAGGCCGGAGCCTTTTACGTTTTCCTGTGCAGTGGTCTTTTGCTCTCCAGTTGATCTGTACTAATAGGTCATGAGGGGAAGTGAGAAGGTTCTCCAAATACTACTCTCCCTGCACCACTCACCTCCTCATCGTCAGAATGACCATCAGTATATTTCTCCAAAATACCAGACCTAGAGGGGACATTGGGGGTCACTTTGTCCCAGTTTTATTGGATAACTCAGTTTGGGCCCCTTTATTGCACCAATTAATTCCTTTACTCTATACATTCCTGCCTTCAGGAAGACTGCTTTCACCCATTTACAGGTCTGTGTTCCTTCATCCCGTGGAAGCTTCTCCCCACCTTGATGAGATTTGAAAGTTGGCATAGAGCCATGAATCTCAACTAGAATCAGCCCCTGGGTAACATCTGCCAAGGGCTGAAGTCATTTTGGTTGTCACAGCTGGGAAAATGCTGTCTGGCTCAACATCCTACAACCCACGGGACACTCCCCACGACAAAGAATTATCTGGCTTTACACGCTAGTGGCGCCATGGTTGAAAAATTATGGCGCCATGGTTGGGAAGCTTACCGTTAGACTCGAGACTCTTGGGTTATTATCGCCTCAACTCAGCCATTTGCCACCTATGTGTCCTTGGCACAGACAAGCAAATGCTCTGACCTCAATTTCTCTATCTATAAAGTGAGGGTAAAATGATAGTTGACCTTCCTGTTTCAAGATTGTTGTTTAAGGATGAGCAATACCCAACGCATCGCCCCATTCCTCAGGTGCCAGGAAGACAGACTCCAGCCTGGCCATCAACCAAGCCAGGCTTCATATGTCAGGAGGACTGTTGAAAAAGAATTCCCCTCCCTCCTCCACCCAAATAGCAATTGAGTTCTCTTGTATTCTTTGCAGGTAAGATTACAGAGATACTGGGTCCTGGGACAGTTGATCCACTGACGAAGTTGGTTCTCGTGAATGCCATCTATTTCAAAGGGAAGTGGAATGAGCAATTTGACAGAAAGTTCACACGGGGAATGCCCTTTAAAACCAATCAGGTAGAGACATATTTTTTTCAGGCGTACTTCGACTTTCTTAAAATAATACGCCAGGAAGGATTGTGATTGAGTGGAGAAAATAATTTATTTCATACTCTATTTCTGAACGAATTTCATGCCCTCCATGTATATTTTATCGGAGAGGGAAAGAGAAAAGCTGAAATCATTTTCATATTGACAGTTTTGTGTTTGTATCCTTTGTCAAACTGATTCTTCTGTCTTCGGTCATATTAATTCGGATCCAACGAAACTCTCTTCTGACCTTTGGAATTACGTTTGTATTGTACCATCACCGTTTGTATTTACACAGACACCTTCTTGCAACGTCAGTGAGAACTATGCTTATTTATTGCCTTGTATTTCAGAGCCACACAATTCCGAACACAAGGGAAAAACAGTGTTAGCAGTGTTTGGGATAACTTTGTGTTTGGATCTTTTTAGAAAGAAAAATTGGATATGTTTATGGCATGTGAGGTGATTTTGATGCATGTATCATAGTGAAACAGCTGCCACCGTCAAGCTAATTAACATACATTTTCATCACGTGGTTACCAGAGTATTTTTGTGATGAGAGCACCTGAAATCTACTCTCTGAGCAGATCTCCAGTATTCCCTACAGTATATAAAAAAATTTTTTTATTTATTTCTGAGTGAGAGAGAGACAGTGTGAGTAGGGGAGGGTCAGAGAGAGAGAGGGAGACACAGAATCTGAAGCAGGCTCCAGGCCCCGAGCTAGCTGTCGGCACAGAGCCGATGCAGGCCTCGAACCCTCAAACCGTGAGATCATGACCTGAGCCGAAGTCAGATGCTTAGCTGACTGAGCCACCCAGGCGCCCCTCCTTACAGTATTATTAACTAGCCACCATGCTGGATGTTAGATCTTTAGACTTAAAGCCTAACTTAAAAATTTTTTTGTCCAGATTCACTTTTGAGTCTGATAATGTCTGGCCTCAATAGCAATTAGCTTAAAATTTGACTTTCATCAACTTGGTGATAGCATGTTGCACACAGGTTGAAGGTCTAGAATACATTTGATGCAAGCTTTAGAAAGGGTGGATGCTGAAAATCTTGTCTAGTCCCCCTCTGCAAGAAAACCAAAGCTGTAAAGCCAATTATATAAGTGAGCAACTTTCCAGAATAAAAATTTAACCCTCTGTGGCTTCTACATCTTTTCTAACCACATCCTATAACCTCCAAACTTGATTATTAGTTAATTCTTCCCTTAACTTGGCTAAATAATTCTTAATTATAAGGTCACTGGAGTTACTTTAATGCATCTTCTCAAAAGAGAAAAACACAGCTTCTTCCAAAAATAATGTAGAGTTTTATGTCTCTCTGTATTTGTCAATTTTATTCTCTCTCACCTGGTAATACGTGATCTGCTGGGACAATAGCATGTTGTATTCAATACTAATATGTAATAATGAAGATCTTACATCTATCAGCATAATGCACGGAAATCCTAATTCTCTTATATGTACCTAGGGGTTCTGCAAATCAGATTTCCCTTAGATTAGTAAACTGTGCTCCTTCTTCAGTAATCTGATTTAAATTTCATGTTTTCATTAGGAGAAGAAGACAGTGCAGATGATGTTTAAGCAAGCTAAATTTAGAATGGGGTACATAGAGGACATGCATGTGCAGGTCCTGGAGCTGCCCTACGCAGGGGAGGAGATGAGCATGGTCATTCTGCTGCCGGATGACAACACCGATCTGGCCGTGGTAAGCCCTTGCCGGTGAGCCTGAGCGTCTACACAGGCAGCCGCGTCTACGCAGGCAGCCACGCTTGTGTCTCTATGTCCATCGATCAGATAGCATTTGAGGAATTTCCAGTGTAGGGTTATCATGAGGAGTGGCTGAACGTCATCTCAGGTCTTGGGTGAACATGTGTTTGTTTGCATTTCTGTTGAGTATCTAGGAGGGGAATTGTTGGTAAGGACACATTCTGGTGAAGCGAAGCAGAGAGAGTTCCAGAAATATAAGAACACTGCTCTCTATTCTGAGGGAGGGGCTGGTTGAGGTCTCACTAATCTTTTAATTATTTTTTTTATTAGAGAGACGGGGGGTGCAGAGGGAAAGAGAGAGAATCTTAAGCAGGCTCCATGATTGGCGCAGAGCCCAAAGTGGAGTTCAGTCCTACAACCCCGGGATCATGACCTGAGCTGAAACCAAGAGTCAGATGCTCAACCGACTGAGCCACCCAGGTTCCCAGAGGTCCCAATAATTACTGAACAAAAGTACTAGAAAATAGAGGGATAGATCTGGGCAGTGTTTCTCTAACATTAATGTGCATAGGAACTCCCGGGATCTTGTTAGTCTGCAGAATTTCACTCAGCGGGTATGGCCTGAGATTTTGCATTTCTAACAAGATTCCCAATGATGCAGATGCTGCTGGTCATGGACCACACTTTGAGTAGCAAGTGTCAAGTACAGGTGAAGAATGTCCCTTAGACGGGAGGAGAGGGATGTCTTCCCATGACAGAAAAGGAACAAGATTCAAGGATGGGAGAATGTAAATTTGTAAGGAGATGCAGGACCGGTCGTGAGCGTGTTGTCTAGCTTTCTGGAGTTGGGGAAAGGCTTCCTTTCCAACTCTTGCTGATTCCTGTGGTGTAAATACTCTGTGGCTGCATTTAGGCTACCGAGGGTTTAACAGTTGCCTCTTGCCAAAGATACAAGCCAGCTCTGGCACACCCAAGTACACAGGATGTGGTGGGTGGGGCTGCCTGAATGCTCTGGTTTCTCTGGAAGCAGAAAGTTATTGGCGAACGTCACAGATGAGATCGGTCATGGCTGCTGAAGAAGAAAATTAGGGGAGTCTGGGAATTAGAACCAGTGTCCAAACAGCCGTCACTGGAGAGGGGCACTCACCTGGGCTCCTAATGGTAAAGCGAAGCGGGGGGAGGTGCAGTGGAAACCCCTTCTCTGTTTCTGTTTTCACTGTGGACAAACAGAATGAGTGATGAGGCTCAGAGGTTTGGAAGCGAACCCCAGGGCAGGCAAGAAGACAAACAAGAATGCCGGAAACACCAGTCTTGTTGAATTCTCTGTTTCCGCTCTCCCCTTCCCCAGAAGCCATGTGTCCCTTCCTGTTCAGATGATCCCCGATCTCCCCTCTTTCACTCGTCAGAGTTCTGAGCCGAGCTCTGTCTCTTTTTTTGTCAAACCATCTCTCTCATTCACAGTCGTGTGCATCGCATGAGTACAATCGATTAGTTATGAGAGCTTTCTAAATGAAAAAATATTTGGAATAAGTTTAGTACAAATAGTTAAGAAAAAACACACGTCCCCTGTTCCAAGTGTGTTTTAGCTGTTTTCCTCTTATATTCATAGAACAGGAGAAAGATGAGAATTTGAGGGAAAATCTTGGTGTGTTTACAAGAGGAAAATGTTTGTCGATTGTCTTGGACCAGAACTCATGTCATTGGGGGAGGGGTACTGAGTGGGGACATGGGCACCAGGCTGTTGTCTCTACATTTGAAGATTTGACCCCTCATTATTTTAGGTGGAAGACGCACTTACCTACGAGAAGTTCAGAGCTTGGACAAATCCAGAAAAGATGACGAAGGATAAAGTTCAAGTTTTCCTTCCCCGATTGAAGCTTGAGGAGAGTTATGATTTGGAGTCTTTTCTTCGAAGTTTAGGTATGACTGATGCGTTTGAGGAAGCCAAGGCAGACTTTTCTGGAATGTCAGCAAAGAAGAACGTGCCTGTGTCCAAGGTCGCTCACAAGTGCTTTGTAGAGGTCAATGAGGAGGGCACAGAGGCGGCCGCGGCCACCGCCGTGGTCAGGAATGCCCGGTGCTGCAGAATGGAACCAAGATTTTGTGCAGATCACCCTTTCCTCTTCTTCATCACGCACCCCAACACCAATAGCATCTTGTTCTGCGGCCGCTTCTCTTCTCCATAAGGAGGGGCGGTTCCTGTGCGCTCACTTCCTTCCCTCGTGCCCACCTTGCTTTAACACAGATTCCTTGTGACCGAATCGGTACAGTGGTCTGAATGCCACAATAAAGTGTGTGCACCTGGGAAGTGTGTGAATGTTCTTAGCGAATATCCCACAGTCACTGAGAAAACTCAGGTGTCAGGTGTGTGACGTTCGGGGCTGAGATGGCGATGCTTGTTCCAGAGGGGAGCTCCTCTTTCTCCCTGACTCTGCCCCATCTACTTATCAGAGGATTGTCCGCACCTCTCAAAGTCTGTACTCATTGTTTGTGGGTGTCTTGAGGAGCATGTCAAGGGTTCCCACACCAGCCCTCCATACACTTTCCCATCCTTCAGTGACCTCAAAGCTGTGCCCAGACCGCCCTGCATATCTACCATCTCACACAGCCCCTCGTCAAGACAACTTCACATCTTCTTGCTGACACCTTCAGGTCTGAGCTAGGAGGCAGAGCTCTGAATGTGCTGTGTAGTCCTCCCTGCAGGGGCCTTCACAGGAAGCATCTGTCAGGAGCAGTGTCCTGCTAGTTAGTCACACATGCTCACTTGTGGCTCCAGCATGTCGAGCTTACAAACGGACCTCCCTGTGGTATTTTTTTGACTTAAAATAATTTGTATTATGGTAGCAATTCGGAAACTGTTGAGAAGTACCAAAGAAAGCTGAAGTCACCCATAATCACCACTATTTTTAAAAAATTTTTTTTTTAATTTTATTTATTTCTAGGAGAGAGAGAAAGAGAGACAGCGTGAGCAGGGGAGGGTCAGAGAGAGAGGGAGTCACAGACTGAAACAGGCTCCAGGCTCTGAGCTGGCAGTCAGCACAGAGCCTGACGCGGGGCTCGAACCCACGAACCGCGAGATCATGACCTGAGCTGAAGTCGGACGCTTAACCGACTAAGCCACCCAGGCGCCCCATAATCACCACTATTAAGTCACCACAATTAAATCACAATTAATGATGTATACCCTTCCCTATTCTATGTATGCAAATACAAATTTAGAAACGTTTTAGCACAAGTTAATCATATGCTTCAGTAGCTGTTTCTACCCCTACTTGGTATTAACTTTTCCCAAGATAATTATATCATCAATTTCATGTGTCAAGTCATATGACTCTCTATATTTTCTATTATTGGATCTACTTTTAGATAGTTAAGGTAACTAAAATTATTTATACTATATACTGCACTCTTATGTGGATATACTAAATATTTTGCTCTCATCCTTCATATTTGAAAAGAAATATTCATAAAAATGGTAATGTCAAGATAAAAGTTGGACACATTTTGAGACTTCTTCCAAATTGGTCTCCAAAATGTTGTACAGATTTATAACCCCCTGTTCATTACCATTTACACTACCACTAGCTGCGGATAGCCATTTTCTTTTTTCTTCTCTTCTCTTCTCTTCTCTTCTCTTCTCTTCTCTTCTCTTCTCTTCTCTTCTCTTCTCTTCTCTTCCTTTCTCTTCTCTTTTTTCTTTTCTCTTTTTAATGATTGATTATTCCTGACTTCTGTTTTAGATTCACAGTTCACAGTTACTGTAATATGGCCATTCCTATTATAGTTCTTATTTATAGTTCATCAAGCTAGAATATGTTCTATTCATATTCATTTCAGGGGCTATACTTTCCAAAGAAGATTCGGTCAAAAGTTAATCCACAGAACTAGAAGGCCTCCATTTTTAAATCTCATTTCCACCTCTAGTTTAAAATAATCTATCCCTTTATAGAGGTATAATTTATACAGAATAAACTTTGCATACTTAACATGTTCCGTTTGAGAAATTTTGACACATATATGTACCCATGAGACCAAACCAATCAACAAATCGCCAGGTGCCAGGCCAGGGGAGGCCCATCAGGCAGCCCTCTGAGGTCTTCACAGTGACAGTCCCTGTGACTGAAACTGGAGGTGACTTAGGGAGACCTGCCAACTCTTACCCAGACCTCCTTGCTTTCCAAATAAAGGAGAGTAGGGGTCAGGTTGAGATCCCTCTGTCCCCAAAGGGGACCAGAGCAGTATGTCAAGGTCATAGTTCTGTGACTTCAAATATCCGAGCAGGGGTAGTTCACATTTCTCTCTAATAAAGCGGAAATGTTCTATACAGCTACTGGTCCACATAGCTGAAACCCAGCCCAGATGGGGCCTCGAAACCGCAAAGGTCCTTGGAGGGCCCCTCTGCCTCCCAGGCATAACACCCAAGGAACTTAACATGAAAAGTGATGATGAGAACAGGATCCACTCCATTAAGTTGAGAGAACTTACTGGGCATGTAAAGAGGTTGGAACAGTGTCTGGCATAAAAGGACACAGTATCTCATTGGTAACTCATTACTAGACAAGTCTCAATTGTGTTTTTGTGCATCTAAAAAGCAATAGTTAGAAATATAGTTAATTCTGCACTAAAAATATAATGTTCTCAGTAATAATAATTGATTCAAGATAAGTAATGCTGTTACATTGAAAATTAAGAAATGCTATAGAGGGACACCTGGGTGGCTCAGTTGAGCATCTGACTTTGGCTCAGGTCATAATATTGTGGTTCATGAGTTCGAGCCCCATGTCAGGCTCTGTGCTGACAGCTCAGAGCCTGGAGCCTGCTTTGGATTCTATGTTTCCCTCTCTCTGCCCCTCCCCTGCTCATCCTCATACTCATGCTGTGTCTCTCTCTCTGAAAAATAAATAAATATTTTAAAAATTAAAAAAAAAGAAATGTTATAGAAAGTCATTAAAGACGACCAAAAAAAAAAAAAAATGGAGAGATTTCATATCATGCATAGAAAGACCTCAAATTGAAAAGTCATCAGTTTTCCCTCACTTGTCCTGTAGATGTAAAGTGATCCCAATCCAGATTCCAGCAATGTTTTCTGTGGACCTTGATGAGTACATTGAAAGATTTATATGAATAAGCAAAGGGCCAAAACTCCCAAGCACACTTCTACAGAAAAAGATTAAGTTGCAGAGCACCGCTACCAGATATTGTAGGTGAGTATAAAGTTTTAATAATTTAGTGTGGTGTTTTCACAGAGATAGACAAACAGATTAATAGTACCAAATAGAGCTCCAGAGCATACTCATTCATGTATGAAAATGGGAAATGGGACAGAATTGGCCTTAGAGGGCAGTAGGGAATGACAGCCTAAGACAATATGCTGGGACAACTTCCTTATGCAAAAGAAAACAAAATTACTGAGCAATTAAATACCAAAATATGAAAACCAAATTTTGTAGGCTTTACAAGAAGATATAGCAGAATCTTTTATGACTCTAGGGAAGGGATAGATTTCTTAAACAATATAGAAAAAGCCACAATTAGGGCAGACAACTGACAAAATCAACTACATTAAAACACGTACTTTAGGGGCACCTGGGTGGCTCAATTGGTTAAGCATCCAACTGTTGATCTCAGCTGAGGTCTTGATCTCAGGGTTGTGAGTTCAAGCCCCGCATTGGGCCCCACTGGGTGTGAAGCCTACTTAAAAAAATGTGCTTTAAAACACATCATAAAAATTATAAAATATAAGCTCAAACCAAGAGATGATAGTGTAACACATTTTTTAAAATATTAAAAGATAAATATAATATCCAAAACAAAATACTTTCATGTAAGACTCTGTAAGAAAACGGCAAGCCAATGGAAAAACGGATAAAGACTTGAAGAACTACTTCACAAAGAAGAGAACAGAAAAAGGTCAATAAACATATAAAAAGATGCTCAGTGTCATTAATGAAAGAAAGCAAATTAAAATAGGAATTAGAGGTCAGAGGGAGGTGGGACCATGGAGGAAAGGCAGAGAGATGCAGTATTTTTGGCTTTTGAAGATGGAGGAAAGGGGACCGAGCCAAGGAATGTAGATGGAGAAGCTGAAGAAGACAGGGAAATGGATTCTGCCCTAGAGCCTCCAGAGAGGAACACAGCCTCACAGGGACCCTGGTTCTAGCCCACTGAGACTTGCCTTGGACTTCTGAGCAAGCAGAGCTGTGACATAGTGAATTCAAGTTTTAGATCTTGAAGCTTGTAATAATTTGTCACATCAGCAAGAAACCAATAACGTATTCAACACAGTTGCTTTTCTTTTACAAATGACAGAAGCACACTTCTAACTTAAGAAAAAAGTAATTTATTATCCCATATCAGGCTGAGAAAAGTACCTGAGGAATAACTAGGACCATGGACTCAAGTGACTTAGGCTCACTCCCCATCTCTAGCTTTGTTGTTTCTCTTGAGCGTTAGCTTCCTTCTCTTTCCCCATGGAACTTGACATGGATATCCACCTCTCTACCCATAAACCCTTGTCTTGGATTGGTCATTTTGTTACTTATTTATCCTAGAATGAACAATAAGGCCAAAGAGGCTTGGATGTACTGACCTCCTGGATCCCTGGGAAACTATGGATGAGCCAGAGAAAAGTTATTATAATAGGAAGCTTTGAAGATTATCAAGTGTCTGTTTCCTACTCAACTTGTTTTGGCCTTAATTGAGCAGTGATATGTCTTAGAGTTTGTGACTTCCTTCTGTCAGTCAAAGATAAACAGAAAAGATCAATTAAAAAGAACATTGATCGGGGCGCCTGGGTGGCTTAGTCGGTTAAGCGTCTGACTTTTGCTTAGGTCATGATCTCGCGGTTGTGGGTTCGGGCCCCGCGTCGGGCTCTGTGCTGACTGCCAGCTCAGAGCTTGGAGCCTGTTTCAGTCTGTGACTCCCTCTCTCTCTGACCCTCCCCTGCTCACCTGTCTCTCTCTCTCTCTCTCCTAGAAATAAATAAAAATATTAAAAAAAAAAAACATTGATCCAGTTATTTAAAAGTATTTGCACCAGGGCTCCTGGGTGGCTCAGTCGGTTAAGCATCTGACTTCAGCTCAGGTCATGATCTCGCGGTTCATGAGTTCGAGCCCCATATCAGGCTCTGGGCTGACAGCTCAGAGCCTGGAGCCTGCTTTGGATTCTGTGTCTCCCTCTCTCTCTGCCCCTCCCTTACTCACCCTGTGTGTGTGTGTGTCTCTCTCTCTCTCAAAAATAAATAAACATTAAATTTTTTTTTTAAAAAGCACTTGGACCAACAAAATTATCACAAGCAAAGTTCACCTA